GATATACGGGCGAGCGTGCATACAAACAAACCGCGCTACATTCTATGGAGCCACCATAGTTTTCTTATTATAACTTTGGCAATTGCGGGCGCGGAATTTAGCGACATAATTTTTGCTAAACGCTTTAGGAGGTAGATGCGTTATTACAACACGTATAGTAACTAAAATTTCTTTTAATGCAACAAAATCGATACGAGAGTTAAACAATATACTTCCTAAGAAATAGAATACAATGAATAAATCAATGTTAAGCTTTTTATAACTGACATTTTCTCATATTATAAGTGGATTCTTTTCTAATCAATATATTAACATCTTTGTTTGTTCGATGCATAATTTAAAAATTTGGTTTAAAATAATTTATTGGCATTTAAAAATAGGTATGCTCCTAAGGCTCAATTTATATTGCGGCGGAACGGCATGGAAGCGAGTTTTCGTAACGATATTGTACATAGCGTAATGAACTTTATGGTCAATTGTGTAACATACGAACTAGTTACGAGCCAATAATTACGTCGAAATGTAAATTGAGCCTAAGGGGTAATATTATATTGTAAAGTTAAGCTTGGCCGTTGCTTTTGTAGCACGGTGCTGTAATGTCCTATTACAGTTATTTATTGCTGTATAAATATATTAAAACATTATTTTAAAACGAATACTAGTACTTCAGAAGTAAAAGCAGGTTAATTTCAGTAATGGCTAACTTTATGATATTTCCTTATAAACGCCAAACTTAAAAAGTTTCAAATTAGGTTAATTCTTTAGGACGTATATGTATTTTTAGATCGAAATATTGTTTTTATTTGTAAAAATAAGAAATTATGCTTATTTGTGTAATAACATTTTGTTCCTTTTTCTAATTTGCTCAAGTTATTTATTTGTTTTAAACGAACGGTTCAATAATAAAGACTTGTGATCAGAGAAGAAATAGTTTTATTTGACCTTTCAGTTAGAATATCGTACCTATAGGTACGATACACGACTTTTTAACTGGGAAATCTGAAACTACGCCAAGTACAGGGACACTGTGTTAGGTTAGGTATCATTGGGTCTGTTTTTTTATAGAAATAATTTAATGTACAGTCACCAGCAAAGTCGAAGTCCAAGAATCATTTATTCCATAGGTAAAATAAACTTACACTTGAAAACATCACTTTTAAGCTATACTGCTCGTTCACTACGCTGACTTCCCTGAGAAGAACGAGCAAGAAACTAGGGATTGCTGTTTTCAAATAAACTTAAATGCTATGGACTACAGTATGCACTGAATCAAATTTGTGTCGAATCTAGAGCCATGTCGTCTTTCCATAAATCTTTATCTAACACGTAGTCTTCAATTTTGTAATATTACTTTTCAATTAAAATATTTTTAATGTACATACTTTTTAAACTTAGGAAATGATAATCTTAATATAATATGCTCCGGAATCTTATTGTATAAACGTATACAGTTCCCCATAAAGAGTCGTTTACCTTGGTTAAACGAAATTGTGGTACCATGAGTTTGGACTTAGCCATAAGGTTAAATACTTATTATCTTAGGAAATGAAACTATTTTTCCGGATTTAAATCGCGTATATTTGTTTTTTCAAACAAACCGACGTTTCGGGCCCTTTACAGGTCCCATGGTCACGGTTGACTGAGGTGGTACAGTCTTCAACCAGTTATGTCTAATATTAATGCAAACCACCCTATTTTTTCACTGTAGTTACAATAGTTTAATTAAATACCTTATTTTTAATTTTACAAAGAAAACATTCCAATTTACGCTACATTAAGTTTTACAAATTATTTTATTGAATGAATTTTTATTAAGTTTAATTTATTATTTTTTTATTTATTACTTATTATCTTCTGTTTTGTTAAAATCATGTATATTTTTACGGGCATATAAAATATTTGAGTAAATGTATTGTGGTGCCAGTCATGATACCAGTCTCCTTAAACTTTACTCTGAGAAAAATCCGAGAACCTAAACGGTATCTATACAGAAAGAATCTCGTTTTTACAATACAAAATATGGTTTGCATGTCGGCCGTAGCACATCAAATTCGAACACCGCCTCCAGTGCAATGGAAGAAAATCCGTCTAAGTGTAGCAAGCTACGTTTCTGTAAAATCTAAGCTACACTTAGATGTTACAGAAACGTAGGACATGTTGTAGCAAGATTGGTGAGCCGTGGGCTCAAAATGGGTGGGAAGGACCACGGTGAATTGCACAACCTAAAGGAGGCCTAGATCTAACAGTATGAGAAGTCGGGCTGTGTTTGGTGATGATTGATTGATGATTTACAATTTTATTTTATACAGGTTGTATATTAGAAAGTGATACTTATAGAGAGCGTTATATTCCTGATTCTGAACCCAAAAAAATGATAAACTAATGAACTTAAACTTTGCAAAAAAATTTATTTTTATTTTTTTTATCGACTACTACTTGTGATCAACATTACTTATCGAAATCCATGCACACCACTATTATTGCTCCGACAGACGCAGCAGCGAGAACAAAGCACAGGTCGACACTGTTTGCAGAGACAGTGCACGCGCGACCTTGGCCTAGCGAAGACACGTAAATTATTTGTACTTCCGCTCGCCCAAACACTGCGCCGGCGGCGAACGCGGCACTCGCCTGCAAAATGGATATTTATTCTAACGTCGAATTGACTGAGGCGGTGCGACTTTACGCAATAAGTGGTGATAGTGTGAGGCGAGCTATCGAAATGTTCCCAAATTGGAGTTTACGTGGAGGAGGTGAACAGTGTCGAAGTTGTTGCATGAGAGGCTTATCTCAGCATTTTATACTGTGAGACAAAATGTGTTTGTGTTGATCAATTTAAAATAAAATTTTCTACGACGTGGTAGACTATGCATTGTGGAAAACGGTGGATATTTTGAACACTTGCTCCGTACCACGTAATTGTAAATAAACTGTAAATAACTAAAAAATCAGTCATTGTAAATAATTTGATTTCACATTTTTAACTACGCCAAAAACCTCAATCCTTATTAAATGATAATTGAATTATCTTTTTTAGTACGTAAAACATTTCGATGATAGTTCATAAGTAAAAAATAATTAAAATAAGCTAAAACGTAATCATTTCGATAACAGCTTTTTCATCATAACATAAATGAGTAGGTGAGAGAAAGATGTGAAATCATTGTTATTGTTGCTGTCTCACTCGGCGCTGGCTTGGTGGGAATACTACCAAGCCAGCGCCGCAAGCCAATGCACTCGAAATCAACCGTAAAGGGAATCGGTTTATTCCTATGTATGTATAGGCGAGTCCAGGCGGCCTTCAGTGTGTGAGTGTGTTGAGTGTGTGTGCCTCGCGTCGACCCACGTTGCGGCGGCGGCGCGTATTCGGACCCCTCGTGGAAGAATAGCATAAGTGCAATTACGTTAAATATGTTTATTGCTCCATTAGATACAGAAAAAAATAACCCACATCCTCTTTATTTTTGTAATTCTATCGGCTTGTATTGTAGAATAATAGCGGCAAAATATCACTCTGACAAGAAAAATATATATACTACGTATAGTAGCTATATTGTATACCTTCAAGTATTCTCCTGTAAACGATATCTCTTAGTGGCAACGTAGGGGTAACCCTAAATAAATAAATACAATACATTTTAGTAATAAAATGTACTGTATTTATTCAGAATTATGGTTTGTTCTCATTTATCCCAATTATGACATTGTAAAGGCGGCTTCACATGGCCGCAATTCCCGCGCTGCGCGTTTCGCACACACGCACCGTGTTCTTCTAACCGCCTGCGGCCTGTTCGGATCCGCCACTGGTCGGTAACTTTGAAGGTGCCGCGCGAGAGTGCGTGCGGACTATGCTCTCGATCAGGGTTGTTGCTGATGCAGGTTTTATACATCAGCTGGTGCCGATAAGTATGCTGATTTTATTATGTATTAAAAAAAACGCGGAAAATGTACGCATCTTCACTGAATCTATCTATACGAAAAAAAATCTATTTTCTTTGGTATTGTAATAAAATATTATTTCAATGATTTTGTGACATTTATTAACAAAAGAATCGATCTGAGTGAAAACATCAATCTGCCTAGCTTAGGAATTTTATTAAAGTTATATTTTAAAAACAACTGAGCTGCTTTTTTGGCTTACAGTCTGTTCCTGGAAGGTTTGTAAATTATTCCAGTGTGCCTTTTAGGTCATGTCACAATTCGAACATCCGCAATGAATATCAGCATGCAAATATATGCATATTATTTGCAGAAGCGGATGCGGATGCTGATATCCGCAAAAATCTGCTAATCACAAAACCCGAATACGCGCCGCACCGCCCCCCTCGCGTCGGCGTCGGTCCGAGGCCGTTCGGACTCACCCGTTTCGCGAGCTCGCCCTTACAAAAAGCCGCGTTGGACAGTCGTGGGCACGCACCATAGATAAGTGGCACGCACCACAATATACAAGTGTAATAAATACTTATTTATATTATATGTATTGTTTTGAGATAATCATAATTTATAAATGTTTATTTTAATTTCTTAATGTGCTGGAAACATTCTTTCGTAGATTATTTGTCAATATCTATTATTATCTGTGGGGAATGTAAAACATCATAATATAATAATATGAGTTAAGAATGTTTATTTCATAAGAAATGTGAGTGAAACCGACACGGATCTTATGAAAGAATTATAACAACAATTCTCTAATTTACATGAGAAATTAAATAATATAATTAAAAATATAAAAATAATAATATAATTAATCCTATATAGTCCTGCGTAACGGATCCATTTAAATGATTATCTATAGTAGAAAAATGATATTTTTAGTACGTGATCTGACGTTTATAATAATTTGTTCGTATTTTAAATTGTCGTTTTGTCGCCCACTATTACTTGACAGTGAAACGGACCCGGATATAGAATTTTTAACGGGACTAAGTAACAGTTTCGAATGGGAAGTAGAAAATAATAGAGGTTTAGAGACGGAACATGAATTATTGCAAAACAGGATGTCCCAATGGAACTGGACCGTTTTGTATGAACAGTGTAAATATGTAAATAACATGATCGAAAGCAATAACAGGTATGTAGTGTTACACCATTTAAAAAAGTATTTTATTTATTCTGTTATACTGCATTGTACGAACTCGCAAATTCGATAATTTGTATTATATTATGTATTGTTGTGACCTTCTTTGGAGCCGGCGTACCTACTAGGTTTGGCTGACCAGCTGAAGTGACAATGCAAACTGACAGAAGCTGAGTTCGTGTTATTTTAATTACTTGATTATAAAAATAAAAAGAAAATAGGCTTTATTTGACATACATAAATTTCGAACAAAAAATAATAATAAATAAATTGAATTAAAATAAAAAAAGAAGCATAAAAGAACAAAAAAGTATGTCAATTCAGCCTCTGAAGACTATGCTAAATATATAGCCTTCGCTGTTATTCTGTCACCACTCGTCATAATATGGAACATCACAATTTAAATTATATACTTACAAAAAAAAATCTAAATTAAAATAACTGTAGACATTTAAGCAATAAGTGAATAAAATTTGACCTTATGCTATTTTGTAAACGTTTACATACGATATACAGTTGGCCGTGCCACTCATCAGTTTTAATTTCAAAGACCTGACACTGACACGGCATCCATCACCCTGAGACGTAATGATGGCACTTCACATGGCTACTTGATATTTCATATATTTGGCAAACAATCACCATGAACATAGCATGCGTGACAAAGTAAGGTAGTGGAACCAATAATGGACGGTTTAAGGATTTATTTTTTGTTTTAGTCTTTTAATTTTGGATGAGTTATCCAGTGGAACTGGAGGAAAGGTTTAATTGATTAAAAAGTCTTCAAATAACGATTAAAAGTCTTTTAATCATATCAATTAATAAAGAAAACATTGTTATTCGAGAAAAAGTAGACCCTGTTTGAGTATCCTTATATGGACAGCCCAATTTCCAATTATAAGCAGCTGTCATGGACGGTTTTCAATCATAGACACCCCACCATGGACGGTTTCCAATCATGGATACCTAAACATGAACGATCAACGATTAAACGAATTGTGTGACGTTTCATATAACCCATTTGTGACTGGTAACAATGGATGGTCATTCGCTTCAGTGCCATGTCTAAAAAAATCAAATCCACTAGTGGACGACCAGTGACGGCCACTGTTTCCATTACTGAGTTGACTTAAAATAATGTAACAAGCCATACACTAAATTAAAAGTCTGGCTTTATAAAGACGCTAAACACAAGTAAAGATAAAATTAGGGAAAAAATGTCCATGATTGGGTAAATAGGTAAATGAGATCCAGTAATAAACATTTAAAATTTTCCAATAGATGTTAGATTATTCTTTTACGGTTATGTTTTGTTTAGGTGCTTAAAACAATACCAAAATACAAAATAATCACAGAAGTCACCACACTCATATCACATTCAAATATGATTATAAAAAACGTACGTGAGGCGCGGTCCTTTGAAATCAGTTCTATTTTAAATTTGTTATCACCGTCTTATTTCGCACCGTGATAATGGCGAATAAAGATGGTCGGCTGGTGGCTGTCAAAATTTAACATGTCTTCCATTTTGATAAAAAATGATAAAAATTTTGAAAGTGAAAAGAAATAGTTAACGTTTCCATATGTTTGGCGGTATAGTTCAAAAACGTTCATGATTGGTACACTGTCCATCATCGGTTCCACTACCTTATTTGCCTTGTTTGCCTATTGGACAAATACAGCAGATACCAAACTCGCGTTACGGCGCGCTGGTCTGATTCTCGCACTTCAAAGGAGCCAAATAGGCAAATACGCAAGTAAACCGTCCACGCTATAGTCATATTGATTATTTGAACCCTTATTACTCCTTATTTATATTACCCAAGCGTAGACGGTTGTATTAGTCTGTTTGGCTGCACGTCCAGTATCTTTCAAATACCTCAAACACCCAATAGCGAATACAAGCAGCCATGTGAATTGCCACCATAAAGTTGACAAGTCCCATGTGTCAGTAATTTCACCAGTTCCCAATGCTCATATTACTGCTTGGCAGCAGAGATAAGTATGGTGACAGCAGATACACGCCTAGGCGAACTCTTTCACAAAGAGCTCTACATTTTATTTTCTTACAGTCATACAGTTTTGTAAGTGTAGGTTGTACCTGTTCCAATAAAATATTTTTTTGATCAATAATAAAATAACATTTCATAGATTTCTCTAGATGATGGATATGCGGCTGAAAAATTGAAAACCAAATACAAAGATCCGACAACAATCACATAGAAAAATTCGTGAGGTCCGCTGGTTCGTTCCGTGGCTTAATTGGCATAGCGTCTGGCACCATTTGCTGGAAGACGTCGTCGGTTCGAATCCGACAAGATCGAAGGAATTTTTTCTAAGTGTTCGAACAAACTATAGTAATTTCACAAAAAATAATTGAATATCGTGTTGATGAAACATTCCGACATTCCATAACAAATTATATATAGTTAAAGTTGAAATGCTGTTAATCGTGACAAACCTAGAGGAATATTAACTAAACTTTTTTTTATGATAATAAGTGATGGACGAACAAGTCGCGCCCCTGGTGGTAACCGACACGCCTGTCCATAGCAGTCGTAGTGCCATTCAGAGCTTTAAATCACATATGTTTGAGAGGCACTGCCTCTGGTGCCATCACCCTGAGACAAAGTTTAAAGTCCCATGTGCTAGTAATTACACCACCTGTAAAATTACATGCACATGGTGCCCTTCAAAACCGGAACGCGCGGCAATAATCTCACTACTGCTTGGCGGCAAAAATAGGTAAGGTGGCAGTACTTCCCTGGACGAACTCTTTCACATGGAGCTCTACTGCTACTATCAGGTATTTAAGTCGAGTTTTTGTCGCCATGTTTCGACATAGTCCGTAGTCCGTAATTATGAGCTTTCGCGATGGTGTGACTCGACGGAAACATATAATTTTTAGGTCGTTTTTGATGATACCTATCTAGTAATTAATTATTCTTATTTGTGCCTACTCAAAAGTTCCCACTAATGGAGGTTTACGAATTTATCCAACGAATATAATTTGTTTCAAATAAAATAACATTTAATTTGATTGATTAGCATAATAATTACCACCGTGATATTTAATATATTTTTTAGAAAATATTCCACTATTTTGTTTACAAAGACGGAAAAAACAAAGATAAATGTATCCGTTCCGATTGAACTGGAGCCAGTCTCTTGCCTCACCATTTTTGTTAAAGCGGCTACACACACGGCAGCGACGCAGCCGCTAACCGTCTACTTTTATTCATGCGCGTGATTTTACGCAGCGATGCAAACTTGATACAAACGCGATGCAAACGTGATGCACGTTTTAAATTAATAACTAATTTATTTATTTAATGTATTTATTAATTTCCCTTTTATATTTACAATTAACAAAACAAAATAAACCTATACAGATCTTTCGTATTATTCAAAATAAGCGACTGTATCGATGCAGTCGCGAGTTTAAGATTAAAGTTTGAGTTTAAAGTACAATGTTGGAATAGAAAAGGGGAGACATTATACTCTATTTCTTTCAGACAAGCCGATTTAAATAACTTACGTAGTCCTGGGGCATCATATCATCATAAGGAAGATCGGAGTGTGGCGAACATGCTCGCCGAACACGTTCGAGTGGTATGCATAGTTCTAACTCACCCGAAGAACCATGAACTCAAGGCGAAACACGTTAAGGCTACGTGGGGGAAACATTGTAATATTTTAATGTTCGCAAGTACAGGAAAAAGTAAGTCCTTTTGCGGGGCTAAGGGGGATCGTCACGGTTTTATATAATCTAATAGCCACTAGATGGCGTTGGTAAGGAGAAATAATAGTTTTACGATTTTCGCAAAATTGGCGGCCAAAAGTTATACTTGTACGCCATACGCCATTAGATGAATTCATGAATTCATTCATTTAAAATTCATATAACTTTTGACATACAATCTTTCAGTTAGTTAAAAATATATATTTTCCGCTCGAAACTTACATACACACATACATGGATATTGTCTAGTGTTCTCTTTGTCCAAAGTATGAATAATGGAAGTCTGGAGTTCGAATCTCTGGTCATGTATTTTTTTTATATTTTGCTTGTATTCATGTTAGTAGTCAGGATTTTTCTATATTATTATTTGTAAATATAATGGAAACAGTCATTTTGCTTTAAATAAACGTATGACACTTTTCTACGTTACTTATTTTACTTACAATTTGAGAGATGTAAATAAAGTTTCTCTTGCGGCGGTGGTGGCGTTTTCAGGCGGTGCTGAACAGTGAGTCAAAATTAAATATAAATATCGTCCCACCCTTAGAATAATAACGCATAGAAACCTAGCCCGCACACTATAAGTGAGGCAAATTGTAGGGCACCCTATGGGCCTACACGAGCGGGCGCGCTGTCTGTGCTCAAGGTGAAGTTGCACCGCGAATATTTCAAAAATTTTTGCTAGAAATGACGAAATGTGCGGTAAATGGGTTTAGAAATAGATCAGACAAACATAAAATAGACACTAACATCACATTCCACAAGGAAGTAATGCGTTTCAACTTGTATTTTTATGTAAATATTCACTAAAACAGAAAATTAATTTCGTTGCATCAAGATAGGAAAATGTTTCAAAGTATCGGATTGTTTCTCCCCATTTTGCTATTTTGTTTCAAAATAATTATATTACGTAATTTTTTGAGAATAGGCAATATCGCGACGGTTGCAAAATTTCTACAAATGTACACCGCCGCAACAACATTGTAGGGAATTTACGTTAGCTATTTTTACGAAATATATTTAGTATTTGCCTTCATTAGTTTCATGTGAAAAATCATTATTCTTGTTCATCATACACTCATTTAAAACAAATTGTCTTGCCCAGACTCAAAAGTTCTTTATTTCAGGGAACTAACACTGACTAAAAAAGTTGTCGTCAGTTCTCCAAAGTCGTGTATAAATAACTTTCAGGTACAGGTTCTTTATTGTTCTCGCGTACTTTTCATGTATACATAATATCAGTCTAATAATAATGTTCATTACGAATATAGCATAATGAATAATAATAATTATGCTATATTCGTAATGAGCACCCCCAAATACCTCGAAAACGATACCCAACTTGCCATTATTTGAAAAATCGGGTCTGCCATTTTGGATTTAGAAATGAGTGCCATATTCATAATGAGCACCCCTAAATATCTCGAAAATGATGCCTATTTTGCATTTATTTGAAAAGTCGTGTCCGCCATCTTGGATTTAGAAATAAATGCCATATTCGTGATGAACACTTCGAATACCTAGAAAACGATTCCCATATTGCATTTATTTGAAAAGACGTGTTCGCCATCTTGGATTTAGAAATGAGAAAAGTCGTGTCCGCCTTCGTGTATTCAGATATAAATGCCATTTCCATAAGGATTACCAAAAATAAATTTTTGAAAATTCTTGTCACTTGACGTTGTCGATCGACAGTAACGATCGACAAAATCGAGCAAATCTGTAGGCACCTTTACCTTACGATGAGTTAAGCAGGATATAATTTCCCCACTTTTGAGGGAAATGTTATTCCATGGCATCATTATTTGTATATTTGTGTGCGTGCCGACGAACGTAAATACAAGTAGCTTACGCCTACATGAATTGACATGACTTTTGTCTGTGGCAATTCGCTTGATATGAAACTATCACTCTATGCGTTATTATTCTAAGGTCCCACCTATAAACGAACTAAAGAAATTGTTTATTTTTCTTGTGATAATGGATACTTTTGAAGTACAAAACTAAGTAAATTACTTTGCAATTCCACGAACCCCATATAGTTAATAACACAAACGCAACTATAGTCGTAAACACCACCACTAAAAATATGGGTATTCGACACGTTTTTCGCCGCTCTACGAGTCATCCCAGAAGATGTTGATTATTCGACATTCGGTCGAACAAACTGTAAAGTTTCTATTATGTTTATTTTACGCGGAGTGAGGGTGTGAAAATTAACTTTATGAAAAAAAAAATTCAATAAACAATATTGCTGCCGAGCAAAACACACAACTTTTCACCTCACTATAGCGAGGAAAATGGTAGATGAAAGAAAAACAGTTGAACTTTAAACGATTACATTGATTTTTTTAAATTAAAAGAATAAGTTAATCTTCGGATGCGTTCTGAATTTACACCTCATCAAATTTTATACTTGCTTGTACTTTTATTTTGTGTGATTAAGTGATTATTGAAATTATTTTAATTCTTTCACGAATTAAAATAATTTAATAAACACAAGTAGTTAACATTGTCAATTTAATGTTACCTAAATAAGTAATGTACAACAAATCGCGTAGTTGAACGTGTCATTATCTTTTTTTTTTTCACCGAAAGGAAAAATTGGGTGCACCGGGTGCACCACACCCACAGTCCATTGTCAAGTTCGAATTTCAAAAACCTTTTCCACACTGGCGTGCAAAAAACGATTTTGCGCGCAGATTTCTAATGAGAAAGAAAGCCATTCCGAGCTAGTGAGCTGAAAAATAATTTACTTCTGAGCCATTTTGTTTAATATGGATTTCCGCAAAGTAATGCTTGAATATTTATATTAATTACTTTTGATGGGCTTTGGACAGCTCTTATCGTAAGCTACGTATAATTGAATTGCAATTTTAAGCATCAATATTCATGTGGTCATCACTCTTATATACTATTTTAAAATATATCTATTAAATCGTCATCGACGTTTAAAATTTTAGGCCATTCGCTTCCGACCGTCGAGCTACCCGTTCAAGAAGGCAAACATTATCTATGGGGTAAGATAAAGGCAGCCTTCAAGTACGCGTACGACAATTATGCTTCTAAGGCTGATTGGTTCCTTAAAACCAATGACGACACGTAAGATGTTGACACATTTATACATATTACACTTAATTATTTTAAATTATAATATATATGACAAAGTATAATAACCTCATTTCAGCTACGTCGTAATGGAAAATCTACGGTATATGCTAGCAGATTACGATAAAGCAATGCCATTATACTTTGGATGTCGTTTTGAGCAGTTTGCTAGACAGGTAAGATCTTCAGTCGAATGCTCAAGATATTGTAGAACTACCTACTATTATGTATCATCGCCACATCAATTGCTAAGGCTTTTACGTTATGCCACCGCCTTCGTTTTTTTATAAACTCTGAGGCGTCCCTACAAAATGCACCTATAATATTCCAACAAATTAAGGTTTCATCATTCAGCCATACGACGCCCACTGCTGGGCATAGGCCTCCCCCAACGATCTCCACGACGATCGGTCCTGCGCTGCCCGCATCCATCGGCTTCCCGCGACCTCCACCAGATCGTCGGTCCACCTGGTGGAGGGCCTACCCACTGAGCGTCGTCCGGTGCGCGGTCGCCATTGAAGAACCTTAAGAAATTAAGGTTTATGTTAGGTATAATATGCTTTCGCGCCGACGACGGTGTAATATGCCTACACCGACTATATAATATTACATCGACGGTATAATGTGCCTACACCGACATTACGATATGGCATCGACGGTATAATATACTTACATCCCTGACGGTGTAATACGCTTGCACCGACGAAATAATATTGCACCGACGATATAATATGTGTGCACATTATACCGTGCACATTAGTACAGCACGTACGTAGACCACCCTTTGCTAGAATAGGAGCCTGATCACTGATCGTAGTAAATTTTCAATCGGTATTCCCCGAGCGTTTTTGTTTATAGAGCGGTAAAATTTAATAATATCTCATTGTGCACAGGGTTACATGAGCGGCGAAGCTGGTTACGTGTTAAGCCGAGAGGCTATGCATCGGTTCGTAACGATAGGTTTGGAGTCACCACCGCTCTGTCTCCAATCTGACAAGGCTGCTGACGATGTTGAAATGGGTATTAATTTCACTTATTTACTTCACATACTTGTCAAGTTAATAACAAATACCAATAAAATAACAAGCCGATGGTAAACTTCTTTGGCCGAGTAAGCAGCCATCTCTATAACTGCCTCCATGGCCGAACGGTTACCATGCGGGATTGCCACGCAGAGGTCCCAGTGTGGGTGTAATTTGTAGTTGTCTATGTGTGTGTCCATGGCACTCGCGACACGGGGTTTCCCTAGTGCGAGACTATGTTGAGTGTGTGAGTTACAAAAAAAAAAAGAGTATGCCCCTTTAGCAAGTCTTCGTAGGTGCAGCTGATCGAACACAGTCGGCATGATGTGGGTATATACTAATTAGATCGATTGGTATGATTAATTATTATGAAATGGAAATACGCATGCAATGTTTTCATTGGCTATTTAATTGGCATTAATGCCTATCGGACAACAGTGTTTTCTTCTGTATTACTAAGTGAATCATTTAAACTTCATTTTTAATTTAAATTGATTGTTGGTTCATAAGAGCAGTGGCCCTGACGTGGCAACAGACGCTGGTTCAAATCCAATCAGATCGAAGAAATTATCTTTGTATTGTACGATCTTTATATCAACAATGTGTAAAGCTCAGATTAAATAATATATTATCGATGTATCTTTGAAGAAGAATCAATTATTTATTTATATGGACATTTATAATTATAATTGGGATTTTATTTACAACACTGGCATTAGCATTAATGAAAAATTTAGTGCATTGATAAGAATATTGACATACTATATTGATATACATTTTCTTATAAAAAAATTTACAATTAAAAAAGGAAACCATACACCGTGGGTGAATAAAGTACTCAATCGTTGCAATTTATAACAATTTATTCATTTTAACAATTATCAGTTTCCACAAAACACTATATTAGGTAATTGCGTGTAACACTATTCTGATTAAATAAATCTATGAGTCTGCGCCACTGTCGTGTATACAATGACAATAAGGTAATGTCCGCTAAAAACTCAAGCAAAGTAATATCGCAAACCGTAAATAATGAAATTTCAATTACGACTAAATCACAAAATGTCCAAATAACGCATAATGGAAACCTTGTACCGACTGATAAAATTCCAAGTTGTTTCAATGATTACTTCCTTACAATTACTTCAAAATTAGATTGACATAGTAATTGTGAGAAATCTCTGTCATGCCTTAGAAAGTATGTAGGTGAGTGGAATGTTCCTCAGTTCAACCTTCCAACTGTTACTTGAGACCTATTTATTGCAGAGGGTGGTAAAGGGAAATGTTGTATGCATCAAAAACACTGGACATATACTATATTTCCATAAGTATATTAATGTAATGTAATTTGTGGTTGTCTAAGTGTGTGTCCATGGCACCCACGACACAGGGTTACCCTAGTGCGGGGCTATGTAGAGTGTGTACGTTATTTATAAAAAAAAAAAAAAAATAGTTCCAAACATATCAAAAATGATATAATTCATTACATCCACAAGCATTATGGAACATTTAGAAACAAACTACTTAATATCCGACAGACAATTTGCTTATAGGAAAGGTGAGTCCACCACAGCTACCGCGCAAAGTATAGTGGATTCAACCATTACCAGCATTGATGATGGGTATAAAACAGCAGGTATTTTTTGTGATCTCACAAAGGCATTCGATGTAATTGGGAATGAATTACTTACACAAAAATTAGCTATGTATGGTGTCACCGAAGTTGCCCACGATTTAATAAAAATCTTTCTTAATAAATAGAAGGCAAACAGTTCAAGTTTGTACGGACGACAAAAAAACCAACTCCGCTGCTGGTGACATCACCATCGGCATCCCTCAAGGATCGGCCTTGGGTAATACGTTGTTCCTGACGATCTTCAACGATCTTGCGCACTATATGTTTGCAGATGACACTACTGTCATAGTGTGTGCTAAAAGTTTCACAGAATTGTTCGAAGAAGTAAATACACGTACAGTCAGCTTTGTGAATAGTTTTCTGCAAATGGGCTTACCCTAAACACATTTAAGTCGAACTTAGTGTTGTTCTCAGGAAGAAATCCCGTATCATGCCCAATAGTCACCTCCGCGGTTCCACTTTGCAACACATGCAAGTTCTAGGGCTTCACTATAGATTCAAACTTAAGCTGGAAAGCCCATATTCAGTCTCTGTGCGAGAAACTTGGGAGGTGCTACGTACGCACTGCGGAAACTGCATCCCCTTGTGTCCACTGCGGTGTTGAGGCAAACGTACTTTGCATACTTACTATGGTATTACAATATTGGGCAATTCGACTGAGTCCAAAAGGGTTTTCGTTCTCCAGAAATGCGTACTACGAACCATAGTAGGCATAAAAGGCAATCAGTCCTGTAAAAGCCTTTTTCGAAAGCACCACGTGATGACGGCGTATTCACAGTACATTCACGATGTAATTGTTTTTGTGCGTAAAAACATACGTATTTACGAGCGATGCACAGGCGGAGGCCGACTATTACGTAACATAGGAACACTGAAACCCGTTGCTCATCGAACCGAACTCGCAACGAGAAATCCGCGAGTAATCGGGCCCCGATTTTACGAACACCTACCTACAAGTCTAAAAAGTGTTACAAATGACGAAGTGTTGTTCCCGACTGAAAGACTTTTTATTGGATAGTGAATTCTACAGTGTAGATGAAGTTCTTTAAAAAACATTGTAATTATATTTTTAATTTTGGACGTTTGTATTTTGAAAATATTTCAATTTTTATTTGTATTTTTGTAGTACGTATTTTTCTTTATTTCTCTTTTAATTATTTTATTTTATATTAACAATAAAATTATTATTTACATTAATGACGATCATGTTATCCTTTGACATTATATTTCGAATTGTAATATTTAGAAATTGATAATATGAAATAAATGATTCTATTCTATTCTAATGAAACTCTTTAGAATCTGTGAAGTTATGTACATACATCATAATCTTTTTTTAACCGACTTCAAAAAAGGAGGAGGTTTTCAATTCGTCTGTGTTTTTTTTTTATATGTATGTTACGCGATAACTCCGGTATTTGTGAACCGATTTTCATGATTCTTTTTTTGTTGGAAAGGGGGTACTTCCATAGTGGTCCCATTTCATTTTGAAGAAAATCATCCACCTCGATTCATTTTTATAAATAGCGCCTAACTTTAATTTAGGAACAATTACTTTAATGGTTGATTTTCCTATTTCTCCAATTCAAGGCGTTTTTCTCTCAATATACTTTGAGTAGTGAGAACCGATTTTTATTATCTCCAGTGTCAAGTCCTATTTAGTGGCGAACTAGGGGATATTTCAATAAAACTTAGCAAATAGACGTAATTCCACTTACTTTTGAGGTCGGTTTTTTTAGTACTCTGTACTGAATTATTTATTTTATTGACACGTTTTCTTACAAAATCACTCAGTTTATGACATGTGCACATAACAATAAAAGTTCTCCGTATCTATAGGGCTAAAATTTTAGCTGTTTTTGAACATTTTCTTTTATGTAGTTACATTATAGCGATTAGAGATTGGTTTGTGAATAATTTAGATGCCTTTGTAAATGCCTTTTTCTTTTTTTTCTTCTTTTTTAAATAACGCACACACTCAACATAGCCCCGCACTAGGGAAACCCTGTGTCGCGGGTGCCATGGACACACACATAGGCAACCACAAATTACACCCAAACTCACGAGAGAAATAATTGTAGGCCATATAAATATTTCTCCCGGTCCGGGAATCGAACCTGGGACCTCTGCGTGGCAGTCCGGCATGGTAACCGTTCGGCCATCGAGGCAGATAAATCTGAGTTACCTAAAAAACAAATTTGGATTGCTGTAATTAGACTATTCTGTATGTGCATGCATTATTTAATTTCTATACAAAAGTATAAATTATTTATACATAATTTACATAATTTAAGGAAACTCATTTCGATATAAACAGGTAACACATACAAATTTACGCCGAGGTTTTGTGTTTCGAGTGAATCTCAATAAATATCGGGTAAATAAATTACAAAACAGTTAAATTAATAATAGTTCCCTGTCAATAGATATTCCATCTTATTTTTTAGTTTTTGGGGACAACTTTTTTAATGCTTAAAGACACAAGACGGCATTTTTAAACATAAAATAACTAATCACTCGTGACGTGCAAACAATACGACGCTGAGCTTAGTAATGACGCGAGTTTGTATTCGCTTTTGAATTTGTATTTGCTTTGGTGGCTTCATTTTCGTGCACGGCGCAAAGTAACGCACGCACGGTGTAAAGTATCAAGCTTGACTTACTCTTGACCATGTCCTTTAAAATAATTGTGTCGGTTTAGGTAGGCAAACATGGTGCCAGATGACTTCACTACTAAAAGTTATGGCTATTATTGCAGGCATATGCCTGGAGAATCTAGGCGTAAAGGCTATGGACACACGAGACGAGTATACGCGCGATAGATTCTTTCCAGTGAGCCCTACAGAACACCTCTTCGCGAGTAATCAACAGGTAAATTGGTACATGGAGTACGTCTATTATTCTATTTCTAGACGCGCGGTAAGGTTTGTGCAATGATGTAAGAATAGTTATTGTTATGCAAGGCTGCAAAGTTGTTGTTTGACGCGTGCTTGTATGGAAACCTGAGCAAGCGAAGGAAGCTAAGATTGAATAAATAGATTGATTCATAAATAGATTTCCGAGCATAGCGAGGGTTTCAATTTCAAAATTTTACTGCCGAGCGAAACACATAACTTTTCCCTCACTATAGCGAGGAAAATGGTAGATGAAAGAAAAAAATAATTGATCTAAAAAACATTTTTTTCCATCCTCTAAGAAAAAACATCAATTTTTGAAATTAAGAAAAAGTTTATCTTCGGATGCGTTCTGAATTTACACCTCATCAATTTTTATTCTGGCTTGTACTTTTATTTTGTGTGATTAAGTGATTATTGAAATTATTTTAGTTCTTCAACGAATTAAAATAATTTAATAAACACAATTAGTTATCATTGTCAATGTGGGATTATAGAGGATTATGAAGTGCATTTCATGGAAGGCATTAACTGTTATTTAACCATAGCCTGTGGTAATAAAGTAGAAAATGCTAAAAATTTAAAGACACTCACACACACACACATTTGAGTAAAAACGACAACAACAAACAATTGTGTATTTTATGTTTTATATATATATGTACGATACAGTTGTGCGTCTCTTATGTTAGGATTCGCTCTGGACCTTTTGGAGGGAAAAGTGTCGTTTTTATTTTGACTTTCAATTATTTTGTGAAATCTAGTTTAAAGTGGAATAGGATAGTGCTATTGTGCCTTAATCGAAGATTAAACGCGAAATTATACGAATCTCGAACTAAAATACCCGTATCGGCCCGTTCTAAGGAATCCCGAGTCAATCCAAGCACGCCGCCTCAAATTGCCTGTCCTCTTTGTGGCGGCCATATTTACAGAAACATAATTAAACTTCATGCTTAGGCTGATGGCTTTGCCAAAGCCTTAATAAATTAAAAAAAAATCTTATGTTAGATATACATATGTTAGGTTCCAAATTATGAAGCTAACATATTGAAAATAATTATAAAATATAATTAAAAATAAGGTATTTAATTAATAACTATTGTAACTATAGTGAAAAAATAAGATGGTTTGCATCAATATTAGACATAACTGGTTGAAGACTGTACCACCTCAGTCAACCGTGACCATGGGACCTGTAAAGGGCCCGAAACGTCGGTATGTTTGAAAAAACAAATATACGCAATTTAAATCCGGAAAAATAGTTTCATTTCCTATGTGTAACAATAGCGAAAACCTAAGAACTCGATAACATATTGAAGACAACACAATTGAAGCATTGAGAACAACAAGGGCGTTCGGTACCCAAAGCCCGTTTTGATGTTATTGCATCAAAACATGTTAAACAGTATCTAGTACCTTATGACAAAAACTCATTTCGATCTCCCTTCTAGAAGGCGTAACTTTCATTCCTTAAGAAGGTGGCGCTCCGCTCTGTGGCACAGATCATAAATGTGGTTTGAATTTTGGACACGTTACCACCTGCAGTTTGTAAAAACTTATTATTTTTGTAAAAAAATGTCTGAAACGAGAGAATTCATCCTTAACATGGAGCATCCAGGAGACCTGAGAGAAGCTGCTGAAGATTAGATGACTTTCAATTTAGCGAGTTCAATTAATGATTAAAAATACGTTGAATTTTTTTGTAACTTTTAAATAAGATTGATTGACAATTTATATCTTTAACCAATAATAAAACGAACGCCCCATTAATTTACTAGTTTGGTGAAAAAAGGGCGGATAACACACGGAAAAAAACTGTTTCTAATTATTTTAAAATAATAATAACACTTGAATCTTTTAGCTAAATCATAGGATAAATAATAATAAAGTATATGATAATAAAAGATATAAGACATCAAAACTTTATTTTAAATTTTCTCGAATCACACTGTTACGTGTTACATCCAATGCTTCAATTTAAAAAACAAATTGAAAGAAACCTGCATTTAATATTCTGCTAATTCACTAAAATCCAATTCAGATAGCGTCGTCGCAGTTATGGCGGCTTTATTTTATAGAGAAACTATAAGTCAGTTATTACTGCCTACACGATGCCTCAGCCGAATTTAGGATACAAAAATTTACTATTATAAATTGATTCCAGAACATAATTACGTGTTTTTTTGCAGGGTTTCCGTTGTTGCTCAGACTACGCAATATCCTTCCATTCCGTAAAGCCTGAAGAAATGTACTTGATGGAATATCTTATATACCATCTCCGACCTTACGGGAGAACCATCGGCGAAGATACGCATACAAAATTCGAATTATATCACAGGAATACTGATTCACCTCAAAATAGTATTGCAATAAGAAGAAAGGTTATTAAGAATAGTCCGCAGCAAAAACTTGATACAGACAAATATAAACTTCCTGACCCTGAGCCAAGGAAGTTAGTTGAGGACACTGATATGCTTCAATATTCATAACAACAATAAGTGCACTTTTTTATTTTTTATTTTATGCCTACCTCAACATGATTGTATGTATACATGAACAAATTAAACCAGTTGGATTGAAAATTTGTTTAACGGTGCTGGGGGTCGATTCATAACCTTATGTCTCGTGCAGCGTGTCGGCTATATTTCGCGACTGCGGTCTCACCAACTCGTTGCGACTTGTTTTAAAGCCCGCAACACATGTTGGCCGAGCCTAGGCGAGCGAAGGCCAATACCAACGTGTAGACAGCCTATTTGCCTTGCCTTCGCTCGGTGTCACTCGCCTAGATAGCCGAGTGAAGGCGAGCGCCAATGTACATAGGGTTCACTTAGCGTGTCTTGTCACGACTCGCCCTCGTCCTTCGCGACCACTCGTCTCACTTCGAAGCGGTGGTGTCGGTTTTTCTGCACAAATCAAAGGCGCTCGCCTGCGCTCGTCCAATGGTGTACACACATTTGTCCGCCCGCCATTACTCGGTTGACGTAGAATATGTCTCAGTATAAATCAAGATATTTTCAAGTTTTTGGAGTTGTTTGAAACCCCAAAGACCTTCCTCAATGTTCACCTTACCTTGTTCTATTTTTGTGAATACTCAGCATCCACCATCTTCCTTTTTGTCTTTACTACTTTAGGCGTCTCGGTGCTCGGAACACTGCGCCTGGCCCGGATGATGTCCCGGGTAGGGCGTGAGTATTGGCTCTCCACGCCGGAGGGGGGAACCACATGAGACGGCTGTTCACCAGCTGTCTCCGGAGCGGTGTGTTCCCGTCCGGCTGGAAGTCGGCAAGGATGGTCCTCATAAAGAAGGAAGGTCGACCTGCAGACTCTCCCTCTGCATACCGACCCATATGCCAGTTGTTTGAAAGAACACTTGCCGAGCGGCTCAACGGCCATCTGTCGCGAGTAGGGCCTGACCTGTTAAAAGACCAGTACGGCTTCCGGCAGGCGCGGTCAACAGTGGACGGGATCCTTCGCGTTCGCACACTGCCGACTCAGGTACTGTCCCGGGGCGGAGTGGCGTTGGCGGTAAGCCTGGATATCGTCAACGCCTTCAACTCCTTGCCCTGGTTGACCGTTAAGGAGGCACTCGAGTATCATCGAGTGCCTACGTACCTGAAGCGAGTTGTCAGGTCCTACCTATGCGACAGGTACATTACGTACCCGGGTCGGCATCGCCATCGCAGAGAGGTCGTGTGTGGGGTTCCGCAGGGGTCTGTCCTTGGACCACTCCTTTGGAACCTTGCATACGATGCTGTCTTGAGAGTCGCACTCCCCCCGGGCGTGCATCTGGTGTGTTATGCTGATGACACCCTGATGCTCGCCGGTCGGGAGGACTTCGAGAGGACCATTCGGCTCGCTGAGCTCGGGGTATCTCGCGTCGTCGAAAAAATCGAGGAGCTGGGTTTACGAGTAGCGCCTCAGAAAACTGAGGCACTGTAGTTCCACAAACTCTCGCGAGGAACCGCCCAGCTTCTTGATTCGCGTTGGTGACGTCGACGTCCAGGTGGGGCAGTACTTAAAATATTTGGGCCTCATCCTGGACGGTTGTTGGGGTTTCGAGGAGCACTTTCGGCGCCTTGTTCCCCGGATCGATAGGGTGGCGGGTGCATTGCGCCTGTTGCTCTGCCCAACCTGGGGGGTCTTTCGGAGAGAGTTCGCCATTTATACGGTAGGGTGGTGCGATCCGCGGCCCTGTATGGGGCACCCGTCTGGTCACATCGACTGACGGGCGTCCGGCGTTGCAGAGCCATGCTCAATGGCGTGCAGCGCCGCCATAAGGATCGCACGAGGATACCGCACCGTATCCTTAGAAGCGTCGACTGTCCTGGCGCGGTTTCCCCCGCTGGACATTCTGGCGGAGTTAGACGTGCGTATTTACGAGGAAGCTGCGCCGCCGGAAGTGCGGTGGCAGGAGCGCCGACGGGCGATCGAGAAGTGGCGCGAGGGGCTGGAACAGCTCTGGATCTCGCGCCAGCGCGCCGTCGGATCCTACCCAATCTCGAAGTCTGGTTGAGCCAGCGGAAGTGCGTTACCACGTTCCGACTGACACAGATACTCACCGGATGCATCGGTGAGTATCTGAATCGGATCGGACGTGAGTCGACGACGCAGTGCCACCACTGTGGGAGGGACCAGGATTCCACCCAGCACACGCTGGAGGAGTGCCTCGCATGGGCCTCCGAGCGGAACATCCTGGTTGCCCGGATCGGGCGAGATCTCTCTCCGCCAGGCATAGTAGCGGCTATGTTGGCGGATCAAGAGTCCCATGAGGCAGTGGTCTCCTTCTGTAAAGCGGTGATGCTTCAGAAGGAGATCGGGAGAAGGCCAATCCCGCTCGGCGGCGGCGTACCTTCGCGGCCGCGGGCGATCGGAGCGGGGGCTTCGTTCGCCAGTAACTTAGGCAGCCACGAGGAGGACGACAGGGCGGTGTGGCCCGCTTCGTCGTGAGGAGAGGAGGGGGAGGACGTAGCTCCTCCTAGGTGCTGGGGGGGTTCCGGTGCGCAAAGTCGATCCCGGATCCTTCCCACTCCAGAGCACCCGAGAAGGCCACCGTGGGGTTTTAGCCGGTAGAAGTCCGGATAACCTAAATAACCTCCCGCTGCCACCGCGGCGGAGAGGTATCTAAGGAGGATTTCCCCACGCAAAAAAAAGGCTCGGCCAACATGTATTGCGGGTTTAACATGTAGTGAACTAAATGGCTTAGTGCGGCGTGCCCGCTATCGGCGACCATTGGCCGTGAGACTTGCAGAGATCAGATGTTACAAGTCTAGTCTATTCCTATTATTATTAGATTATTACATAAGTAATTACAATTATAATAATGGACCCAGACAGGTTAATTGATGCAGTTCGTAATTGCCTCAGAATGTAACTTTTTTTAAAGCCCCGCACTAGGGAAACCCTGTGTCGCGGGTGCCATGGACACACACATAGACAACCATAAATTACACCCAAACTCACGAGAGAAATAAATGCAGGCCATACACATATTTTTCTCGGCCAGGGAATCGAACCCAGGACCTCTGCGTGGCAGTCCAGCATGGTAACCTTTCAGCCACGGAGGCAGTTTATTATCATTAATTGGATGAATATTAAATCTTCTTCTTCTTATTCTTCTTATGGTAGTCGTAAAACAGAATTTTTCAACAAAAAAGTTCTGCTAGTATCGCTCGGTCGTCGGCAGTGTTACATCGCTAGTCGCCCGCATGCTGCACTGTATTTCGTCGTTAGAAATCGTTGCAAATCGATGCGACATATCGCCAGTACGCTTAGCCCTTTGAGCCCTTACGATAACTCAATTATCGACCGATTCGATTTAATATCGTACGATTTCTTTTCATTTTTATTCAAAACACCCGAATCGAACGTCAAACTGTCGTATTCAAAACTCTGAACCGAAATGACGTCACACCCGTACGATTACTCGAACTTCTCGACCGGCCAAGGCTACAAACGTTATTCAGAACACAGTTATCGAATTAAATTTACCGAACGTCCTATTGTTTAAGTTTGTAATATGGAAATCTATTATTATTTTAAATAAAGTTTGGATTTTGTTCAATTTTATTAATTTATCTTAATAATCTAACAAAACAAACCACAACTAACGCATACCTTAATTAAGGCCTTTAAAGTCGTAAAAACGTACATAATAAAGATTTTTAATAAGGATTTTCATTTTTCTTATAGTCTATTACACCGACTAACTCCGTAAACACTGCTGGATAACGATATCGTACCCGAATCCGAATCGAAGGTTCTGAATAGCTCCGAAAGCACCCTTCGATTAGAGAACGATATCCAATCGATCGATGCGGTTAAAATATCGAAGAGTTCTGAATCGGGGTCCTTAAGTGTTATAGTGCATGGTAACCCTGATGGATAATATATGTACGGCTTACGTAGTAGTCTACAATAATGACTCAACGTTTTCTGAAACGAAATAATTAATTTTTAACCACGTGTTTACTTTAGTTAACGTAACGAAACATAATCTTAACGAAACTATAACAAAAAAGTTGACATAATAATTCTTCGCGGGCGTGTGATGTCTCCAAACCGCATCGGTACAGCGTTACAAGTTTAAGCTGAGCGACATGTTTTATTGTTACAGATCTAGTATTTTGTACGCTACTTAAATCCGTTAATAGTTACATTTCCAAAGTAGATTATAGTTTCTTTCCGAACGCTAAGAAAAAAAATACTTATATCGAGAATATTTTTACCATTTTATTTCTTCTCTTCATTCTCAATTATAAGATTTTGATATCACCTACATAACGTCGTACTTTATTAATAATCTAAAGTGGAAAATCTTAGCTGGAATCAAACTAGGTCGAAACCTGTGCTATAGCTTCCAGCCCCCCCCCCCCCCACTACGCATTTAACAATTAAGAAAATGTATTTCTGGTGTGTATGTGTGTGAGTGTGTGTGCGTGTCATCATCCCTTAGTTTTAGAATATTGAAATTACTTAATGATAGTTATGCATCGTTAGGGCAAGGTCCGATAACTTGAACACGTTAACTAACTTTAACTGTTTTCAAAAGACAATTTTGTGCTTTCTTTTTTTGTAACTAAAACGGATATTTGACCATTTCTCACTTAGCCCCATTTTAGTTAGTGGACGGCAGAGGTCAAGACACCACATTAAAGTCAAACTAAAATAATTTATTAAAATTATAAAATTTAATTATCAAAAACACGCATAAATATGTCAATTTGATAAAACGTAACACTAGTTTCTAAACCAATTAAACTAAAAAAAAAACACATTTATTCATTCTGAGCATTGATATTTAGTAGCAATAGAGCTCTATGTGAATAAGTTAGTCTAGGGAAGTACTGCCACCTTACCTATGTATATAATTTTAATTAAGTTTATTGAATTTCAGAATCTCTCACTACCATGGTATTCAATTATTTTTTGTGAAGTTACTCCACTAGTTTGTTATAATTATTAATACAAAGACCGAACACTTAATAGCTATTTGTTATGCTGCTTGTATTGGAACCTGAGCAAGCGAAGGAAGCCAAGACCGCTCGCTCTCGACTTGCTTTGCTCGTAGTTCAAAAGTAGATTCCTGAGCGTAGCGAAGGTCTCAAGACACGAGATGCAAAACCAATTTTGCTGCCGAGCGAAACACACAACTTTTCACCTCACTATAGCGAGGAAAATGGTGGATGAAAGAAAAACAGTTGAACTATAAAAAATCAGTTTTTTTTTAATTATAAGAAAAAGTTAATCTTCGGCTGCGTTCTGAATTTACACCTCTTCAATTTTTATCCTTGCTTGTACTTTTATTTTGTGTGATTAAGTGACATTGAAATTATTTTAATTCTTTCACGAATTAAAATAATTTAATAAACACAAGTCGTTAATATTGTCAATTAATGTTACATAAATAAGCAATGTATGACAAATCGCGTAGTTGAACGTGTCATTATCTTTTTTTCATGGAAAGAAAAAGTTTGGTGCACCACACCACAGCCCATCGTCAAGTTCGAATTTCAATAACCTTTCCTACGCTAGGGTGCAAAAAACGCTTTTGCGCGCAGATTTCTAATGGAAAGCCTTTCCGAGCTAGTGAGGTGAAAAAAAATTCCTTCGATCTGGCTGAATTCCAATTTCGAATTTTGTCATTCGCCATCTGTGAGGAATATATTTGGTCACCAAAACAAAGAACTGCAACAAGCATATAGAAAAATTCGTAGGGTCCACTGGTTCGTTCCGCGGCCTAGTTGGCATTTGGCACGGTTTGCTGGAAGACGTTGGTTCGAATCCAGCCGGATTAAAGGAATCTTTGCTAAATGTTCGATCTTTATATTATGTTCGATTATAAGAAATATATAATTTGTTCGTATTATTTTTATGACTTCGTGTGACAAAGGATTGTAGCTTTATAATTCCAAAGACACGATATATAAGTACTTAAAATGCGCTAGCCTTTAATTGGCCTATCTTTGTTTTTGCAGCAATTAAGTAGTTTTCCAGTTTGTGATATTCGTTAAGTTTTTAGAATTTTTCAAAATTTTTGGCAAACGCCCTGAGCTGTATTGTATGCCGAATGGTCGTAGTTTGTAGATGAGAAACTCCATGGTGTACATGTCTGCCGGAGACTGGTAGTGGAAGGAGATTGAGTAGTCCGAACAGCAATCGACACCCTGGTAAAGATGAACTTGGTAAGATATCAACAACAGGTTAATTCGTAATAGACAGGTGCGCCGATCGTAAAATAGCGGCGGTTAATGGTTTTTTTTTGTTGTGGCTAGATTTCAATTTCCATTCCCACCGACGCATCGTCGGTGGAAATGGTCTGGATTGACGGGGATGTGCGAGACGAGAATTCAAATATAACTTAGTTGTAATATTGAACCTTATTGCTGCCAGCATAGAGTGATGATTCTTCTTATTGGATACAATCGATAACAAACACTAATGCTTGGTGAAAGGATTTGCCAATCGGCGTAAGATACAACTCGCCGATTGTTGCCCAAGGTGCTCTAGGAGTACAGGAAAAGCATGGTAGAGCCCCATATCTTTCTACATCAGTTTAGATTATAGTGACCCTCCGTACCGACCCTGAGGGTATACGAGAAGGGTACTATAACCTGTGCGCGTGCAGGAGCCTTATAGCTTCAGGTTCTGACCCCAGATTAGCCAGTGTAAAGGGTTGTCACAGACCTCTGTTACTTGACTTCCGGTTCTCGAGAGGTTTGTGTCTCGAGTGAGCCGCCCCGGACGCACGTACAGTACTGTAAGGGTCGTAGCCGTGGTTTAGCGTAGCGAGAGGCACATTTCAATGAGAAACGAGGAAAAGAAACATAAATAAAACTTTACTGCGTGTATTCAATTTCGAAGCTTTGTCCAGAACAGCCAAGATTTTCTTTTTTTACAATGCTTTTTTTTATGAAATTCTAAATACAAACCTATATTTATTCAGCCAGTTCTAAAACAAATCATACAGCCTGGTCTACAGTACTATCCCTATTTTCCAGATGGGTACCAGAGCTGTAGACATGCTCACTTCCTGTTGCGTATTGCACAACTAGCGGTTGCCACCGGTAAGCCGTCGACTCTGCATCCTCTACCAAATCTCCTCATTGGTGGCGGAGCTGTAAGACACGTTCTCATCCCGACGCCGAAAAGCAACGTTTCTCCAGTTCCCAATAATCTAAGTGGGCGGAGGATATCTAGCTTATCCTATACTTGCTCTCAGGGCTAGTACCGGAGATGCCAGTCGCAATGTCCTGCGACAATGTCCGGACAAAGCTTCCGACTTAAAGGGCAACTGACGTGACCCGCGCGTCTACTGACTTCAAACCCTCAACTAGACCCTGGTCTTGCCATTCAATCCGTAGTCTCTCCGGAAAACCCTATATTTCAGGTCGGTAGATAGGGACAAAGAGTGGTACGTCGGGCGGGGAGGTTGCTATTAATATTGGTGGAAATAAGCCAGACAAATTTCAATTCTCGTCTCGCCTCGTCTCGCCTCGCGTCACCTGTGGAAGACTACTCGTATCTTTCTTTTTTTCTCGCAATAACTATACTCGGAATTAGGGACCAAATTAGCTAAGCTCATGTAAAATTGAACGCAAAATGCATGCTTAGATATGTGATAAATTTTACGTGTCTTGATTTTTGGTAGCCGGTATTGAAACCTTTCACTAGTACAATGTCAATTCCACTTTATCAGTATTAATTTTGCGTTCAATTTAAACACTGAAACGTTTTTGTTACACAAGTAATCCGAGCCACTGTTAAGTTTCTTGCTTTTGCTAATTATTGCTAACTAGAACTCGTAATACTCGAAAGAAAAGTTTTAATACGGTAAAAATATAATAATAAAATACTTACATACTGACTGGGATAATAAGTATATCGCCAGTACCAAAAATCGGGGTCGGTGTAAGGTACGACGTGGTCTTGCGGACTGAAAGGCCAAAAGCGCCCGCGCTGCTCTGAATCACGAGTGTCTACCGCCTTGACGCCTACGCGGTGCAGACATATACCTGAAGAAATTATTTAGAGTGGTAGCCAAGGCCGTAGCAGCTAGCCATATAGCACATGTAAAATTAAACACAGCCGGTACTGGTACGCGGTCTCAAGTACCGGTAACCAAAAAAAAAAAACACATCGTAAATACAATCAGACCCTGATGTTAAGCATTCTAAACCTTGTTTTTCAAAGACTTTAGATTCTATTTTTACATTTTACCATCAATGCTTAAATGTTATTTTTTAACATAGCGAGCTGGAGCAGAATATCAGCAGCGCTGTGAAACACTCCACTTATACTCCACTAATTTGCAGAACTACAGACCATTTATCTCATACCGATCGCGGTTTCGATTCCCGGTAGGATCAATTTGGGAATTGAACTTTTCTAATTTGGTTCTGGTCTGGGTGATCTGGGCTCTGGGTTATGCCCCAGAGCGAATGCCATAGCTCTGATACTCATAGTACAGGGAATTCCCTAGGTTGAGACCAGATAATTGCGTCAACCAAATTAGCGTGATTTACGGGAATCTATTGTTCACTCCGTAGACAATATAAATTAATGCTTACGGTCCAAAAATAAAAGTCTTAGCCATTGAACATCCAGTATATAACCAGAAATAGAGACGAAATGTCATTTAATTTGTTTGAAAACTATTCTGCCATATCAAAACTGTGACAACTGCGCTTCGAATGGCTAGCCCGAGTTCGAAACAATTGACGGGTGTCGTCAATGGGCGTCGTCAACTGTTTCACTTCAAATCGACCAGTTAACTTGAGCTTTGCTATAATGGACGAAAATTGCAAAATTACATATTTAATATTTAATTACCGATGAAATGTTCCATTTGTTTTGTAATTAGATGTTTCGCTGTTTTTCCCACAACACTGAATAGAAGTGCACGGCATTGTTAGAGATATTATCTTTATTACAATAAATACACAATATTTTTTGGAATATACGAAGATGTACGCACAGGTCAGTAGTTGGCCTTTCTATATTTCAGTGCAAACGGGAGTTGATATTTATAAGAGCTGCATCGTTAATGTGTTACCAGGAATATATGGCCCTTATTTCGTCTCTATTTCTGGTTATATACCCGATGCCGTTGAAATAACAAAGTAATAACGTTAAATTACTCTAATGTGACATTTGGTTTGGTGCAGATACGCCCACCAATACCACATTACATATGCGGACTTGCAGCATTCCCGACGATTGTCGTTATTAATTAATGTGTTGAGATTATTAAACGATATTATGTCACTATTAACAAAACAGAAATGCATTCAAAAGTAGACGTCTAAACAATTTCTTACTTGCCAAATATACTTATTTAAAAATAAAATGGAATAATAATACTTCATAGTTTTGAGTAAAGACTGTTTTGTCCAGAACTAGCTCACAATAACGTTGTCTCATTTCGAGTTAAGTAGCTATATTTTAATAAAACTGTTTCTCACTCTAATAACAGTTGTAGTACGTGTGAAAAAGAAAGGTACTGCCACTTTACCTATTTCTGCCGCCAAGCAGTAATATGAGCAGTAAGGGTGCTGGTGAAATTACAGGCACATGGGACTTGTCAACTTATGTCTCAGGGTGTCGGGCGCAGTGGTAGTGCCTCTCAGATCTTTGCGGGTTTAAAGCTCTTAGTGGCACTGCAACTGTTATGGACAGGCGTGTAGCTTACCATCAGGTGCACGACTTCTTCGTCACGTCACTTTATATTATAAAAAAATCTGTACAACATTATTGTATTGTACGGTATTGATGTGTAGGGATTCAAATTTTACGTTCTGCAATAGTATAATTTTGAATTTCAAATATTTTAAATTATAATACTATTGTTATGTCTAGCAGTGTGACATTAGTTACCTATTTTAGCATCATCATCGTCCCCTTCATCGCCTTCGTCGCACAAATTGGTAGCTCGCAATCCTCTTTTGACAACCCTATCGAGAGCGTCTCGACTCAGCACCATGCCGGCCCCGCCACTCATATAACCTTGCGGAGTATGTGACCTAAAGCGGCAGCCTAGATATAAAGGTTTACGGTGATCGTAGTTGGATAAAAGATAGCGAAGATTTTCCATTATTACGTATCTGGAACATAAGCGAAAATTTTTTGACAATAAATAAACTCAGTCTACGAAAATGTACATCACATGGAATTCCCTATGCCACAATATTTACCGGAATAACGATGCCTCCGGGCACGCTCTACCCGAAATCAATTGTAAAAAGTCGTTTACTGGTAACGACTGCGCGTATGTGTCACGCGAGTCATAAAATGCTCGAATGCCTTAATTGTCACACATTTGTGGAACACGTAGCTGCTTCAAGTTTATTTAATCTTGCTTGATAATGTTTGTTATTTGTTTAGTATTAGCAGTGACCTACCAACAAATGGAAGACAGGGCTAATACAAAAACCAGAGAATAAAATAGTAACGAGAATGGACACTCTCCGCCTCTCCCTAGCTTTAAATACCGCACCACGCCCCTGAATATAGTTTTTATTTATTTATTGCGAACCTTGTATGTTAATACATATATAACATCATTGTACGTTACTATTTACAATGATCGTAAATTGTGCTGTGTACGGCTGTTTATCGCCATTTAAATTGGATAAAGAGAGTAGTGTCTTTCGTTTTCCGAAATATGAAACGAAGATGAAAAAAACTGATACCTAATTATTAACTAGGTAATGATAAACTTGAACACACAGTTTCAAATACCTTGGTTACTTAAATTTTTATTGAATTGATTGATTGATATTCAATTATTTTTTGTGAAATTACTCCACTAGTTTGTTATAATTATTAATACAAAGATAGAACACTCAGAAAAAATTCCTTCGATCCGGTCGGATTCGAACCGAACGTCTTGTACCTTGTACCTTGGTTACTTTATTTAAAAGTACCTGTCCAAAAAATAACATTTTAAGTGCTTTTATTATATTTTTTAAATAAATATTAAATATTACTCTAATTAGTGAATTAATGAAAAATACAAAATTATATCGATATAAATACCTATAAACATGTGTAATTATTACGATTCTATTATGCGATTATCACACTACACCGCGCCCCGCGACGGCCCGCGAGACGCCGAATCACGCGCGCGCTGGCGGAGACGCAGATCTGCGTCAACGCGCGGTTTAATCGGCGCGGGGGCAGCAGTCTAACGGCCCCGCGTCACTTAAAGTACTCGCTTCGCAGTTAATCGCCGTAGTGATTGTATATGTAGCTGAGATCGTTCTTTGACAAGAACGGTTAATAATACAGAACTCATTCAGGATGCTGTAGTCATACTGTCTGTTTGGTTTTTGTTTACTCAAATAAAAAGACACCGGAGATATTGGATACATCCCTTTTTACGAATCAGATCGATTAATGGGTAATTTCAACTTCATTACAAAGATTTAAGAAAATATGAAGATAAATTTGGTCGATTTTCAATAGCAAATATAAATTTATCGACGTCGAGATCTACGAGTATTATAGAAAACTGAACATGTCCTTAAGCTTAAAAATCTGCGCGGTAGTTGAAGCGTTGTCAGTGTGTTCGACGGCGCGTGTTTTCCATACAAACTGAGGTACTTCAGTACAATGTTAAAAAACGCAGCTCCGCGCTCCGTCGCGGGGTGCGGTACAGTGTGATAATTGCCTTAATAGAATTAAAGAAACAGATTCGCGTTAGAATTTTCGCTATGTTACCGCTCTGACAACGTAACGTAATTGTACGAGAAAGTGATGGGTAACCCTACCACTTCGCGCACATATTTGCGCGTTTACAGACAGCACCTTATTATATGTAATGGTAGTAGGTAAATAACTTTCGACCGCTCACGCTGTATGGAGTGTCCGGGGTGTGACAAAAACCACAAAAAAAATATCCAGAGTTAACATGTAAAGAAATATAATGAAACTAAAACATTTAATTTAAATTGTAACGTCATTGCAGAACTGCTTAATTTTGCTTGCAACAATAATTATTAGTATAGGCCCAAAAATTCACCATAATAATAATAATAAAAATGCACCATATTTAGCTTCTAGTGAAAATTACTCGAACACAAGAGTAATGGGTTAGCCTTTACTGTCAATATTAATGAATTAATTTTATTTGAGTAATTTTTTACAAGTTTTTATTAGTAGACAACCCTGCGATACGATAATCTACGGCTCTGAGACGTGGTCACTCACTATGGGCGTTAAAATCACTCAACGAGGTATGGAGCGGGCAGTGCTCGGCATTTCTCTACGTGATCGAATCAGAAATGAGGAGATTCGTAGAGAAACGAAAGTTACCGAAGTAGTTCAAAGGATTAGCAAGTTAAAGTGGCAGAACTTAGCTCGTAGAACTGAAAGCCGATGGGGTAGAAAGGCTCTCGAAAGGCGTTCAGTGGGACGGCTCATTATAAGATGGACGAATGACCTGGTAAGGGCGGAGGGTAACCAATAGATGCACGTCGCGTCCGATCGGCTAGTCTGGAAATCTTAGGAGGAGCAGTGGACGTCACTCGATAATTTAAACAAAACAGTCTCTTTCTGAACCTCTATTTTATATTGGCCTTTTTTTTAAATAAGCTTGCCAAAATGGCTGTTTGGCAAAATCTAACTACAACAAGTCTACAATATTTGGCGAATGTCGCTATTTCGGTATCATCTGGACGTCTTTTCTCACTTACTATTATCACTCAATTTTTTTTTCATCATGGTACTGGACGAACAAGTACACTCTAATTGAAAGTCATAAACCGACTGAAGCCAAAGTCTGTGAAATTATTTTTTTATTGAAATTAGAAGCAGTAGAGCTCCTTGTGAAAGAGTATCCTTACCTATTTCTGCCGCCAAGCAGTAATGTCAGCATTACTGTGTTTCGATTGTGAATAGTAAAGGTGCTGGTGAAATTACAGGCACATGGGACTTGTCAACTTACGTCTCAGGGTGACGGGCGCAGTGGCAGTGTTCCTCAGATTTTTGCGATTTAAAGCTCTGACTGGCACTGCAACTGTTATGGACAGGCATGTAGCTTACCATCAGGCGCACGACTTGTTCATCCCGTCACTGGATAGTTTAAAAAAAATAAAATCTTGAAACGAATTCAGAGGCACATGATCCATTACGATCCAAAAATCGATTCAAAGTGAAAAATTATGCACCTCGACTGAACTTCGATACAAAAACTTAGCAAAATTTTCATTTTTTCTACGTCCATCTACGGAAAAATTTAGTTCATTCAAATGTTAGGAATTTTCTCTCCCATGATCGGCAATAAATACCTACGTCTGGCGACTATGAGCTTATTTTACAGTAAAAGTATAACTTAGTATACTTTGTTTCTAAAAGGAACGATTAAATTTAAATATCTTATGTTAGTCGATATGTTCTCCGTCATTTCGAGTAAACTGTCAGACGACTTGGCAACTTCAACTCACGTGTCATCGTCAGTTCTCAGGAACCAATCAGCGTCCTGACGATGGTTCTTATAGATGTAATGGATGGCTGCCTTCATTTTACCCCACAGATAGTCCCGGCCTTCCCGCACCGGCAACTTCACTGTTGGTATGGATTCGTCTGGAATATAGTAATAATATAATAATAACGCACACACTCAACATAGCCCCGCACTAGGGAAACCCTGTGTCGCGGGTGCCATGGACACACACTTAGACAACCACAAATTACACCCAAACTCACGAGAGAAATAAATGTAGGCCATACAAATATTTCTCCCGGCCCGGGAATCGAACCCGGGGACCTCTGCGTGGCAGTCCGGTATGGTAACCGTTCGGCCACGGAGGCAGTAATGACCAGATAATATTGTAATAGTAGGGTTGTCACATTATTATCATGTACCTACAGTTTGCAAAATATAATTTGAAAAATAATAAATACAATACAAGGGTTTATTTGACATGCAATACAAATAAAGAAAAAATATGCAAATTAATAATCATAAAAAAACACATGTCAAATGGATCTATTGACTCAGCTACAGAGGACAATGAAGTGTCCTTGCTGATATTCTGCCATAGTCCTTAATGGTCAGGAACACACAAAAAATATATAAAATTCATCATATAGCACACACATATGCGTCAGAATTACAATTGAAATGAAAAATATAATTACAATTCCAAATTACATATTAAAAACCAGTATAACAACATCGAAGCCACGAATTAGGTACAGTCCAAGTCAAATAATCCTTATTTCATATAAAAGCGAATTACACTTGACATCGTCATGCTAATTAAACTCTACTACTCATTGGTAAAACAGATTCGCTCTAGAAGAATAAGCAAGACACTCTACAGGTTGCTCTTTGTAAATATGTAATTTGAATACATTTATCATTAAGATATTTAATTTAAACACATAAGGGCGAGTTCCCATTATGTCGTAACGGTTTATTCATCGTTGAACGACTGTCGTGTCTAGCTGTTACCATATGGTGGTAACAGCTAGACACGACAGTCGTTCACGACAATCGTTCGTGACGACAATTTATCGCTACACGGTAGCCGCCTTGTCGTTTGCACGACAGAGTCGTTTGTAGCTACAATTATCTGTCGTCACATTATTATCGTGACGTTTCATTTATCGTCTGACAGACGATACGACGAAACGACTGTCGTTTTAGCTCTTCCCATTGTCTCGACAGTCTGTCGTCGTAACGTCAAAAAAGTCGTAACGACAGTTAATCGTGTTGTACTATATGTGAACAAATTCATTTAAATATATGTACAAGACACGACACCTTAATCTATACTAACTTTTGTCGCGATATAATGGGAACGCGACCGTAGATCGAGGGTAGAGCTAAACTGGTCATTTGAAGGATGTCATTACATTTTTGATTACACACAAGTTTAGATGAGGGAACGACGCGGGACACGCAGGCGCATACCAATACTTTGGGCCAATTTAAGAAACGAACGTTTCTAAGTTGGTTTTGGTCTGACGAGTATTCTGGATTATCGTTGTTTTGGTATTCATAGTACAGGAAATTCGGCAGTAGTTTGCCATTTTTTCCCCCTAAATACTTCTCTTTGACATAGCTTTCAAGAAGATGGAATCTAACATATATATACATAGTATCTCATTTCCATTACATCGGGAAGTATGCCTTACATTTTTACAATTGTGAGATCTTGTACTCGTAATCTATTACGCCTCCGTGTATAATTACCTCCATACGAAGGCGTGCGGAAGCTTCGGGCTTCGCCCTCCGCGGACCTCGGCCTTCGCCCTCTGCGGACCTCGGCCTGCGGCCTCGGCACTTAGGACTTTGTTTTAAAAAAATTTAAATAGCTCTTTAATGACGGCCATATTTAAAAATTACAAAAATATATTATGACCACTAATTATTAACAAACAATCTTACAAATCTTTTCGTGCTAATTTTCAGTCCGAGCAAAGCAAGTTACATAAATAAATTACGGCTATATCGAAAAACAGCGGAAACAAAATTTTTACCCCAATTTATGATGCCATGTCATTTTCAGTCGAATTAGAAGAAATTTGTATGTATCGCCAAAAAAGTTTGTATGGTAGCCATATTGAAAAATGGTGAAATAAAACGGTGAAAATAAATTTTAACCGCTAATTATTATTAAACAGCCATAAAGACCCCGCATGTCCATTTTCAATCGAATTGGTGCAAATTTTTATCTACCGCTAAAAGAGTTTGTATGGTGGCCATATTTAAAAATGGCGAAAAACCAATTTTGATCACAAATTATTATCAAGCACTCCTAGACCCCCCATGCCAATTTTCAAAGGAATCTGAGCAATTTTTTTTCTGCCGCCAACGAACGCTTCTATGATGGCCATATTTGAAAATAGCGAAAAACAAATTTTGAGCACAAATTATTATCCGGCATTTCTAGTGGCCTTTACATGCCAATTTTCAATTGAATCAGAGCAAATCTCTTTCGGCAGCTATTTTTAACGAAAAAAACAATTATATGGCAGCCGTATTAAAAAATGGCGAAAGGAAATTTTTGACCCCAAATTATGATTAAGGACTCCTAAAGACCCTCGCATGCCAATTTTCAGCCGGATCGAAGCAAGTTTTTCTTCGGCCGCCATTTTGAAATCGCCATCTTGAATTATTTTAAACCAGGCAATTGACCAGTGTTACCCTCTATGACATTCCTTCGAGCACCTCCTACCTATCTCTAATAGTTTCCGTAATAGGAGGCTTCGAAATTTGTATGGCGGCCATCTTGTTTATTTGAATTTCGAACATTTTTTACTTCCCGCGGAAATTGACCAGGGTGTATCTCATAAAAATGCACAAAAATCCCTGCCATGTATTATAGTTTTTGCAGGCCATTGATCACTCGTTTACATTTTCCACATTCAGGTCTTCTCATATTTGATTCTTTGCGTTGGAGCCTATCCGCGTACTACGGTATAAATATCTTGTTTCCACCATATCGGGAAGTATGCGTTCTATTTTTCTAAGTGAGTCTAAACTTGTAGCTTTATATGCTCTTATACTAACTGAATGTTGGCTTAGTATGGATAAGCCGATTCCTATCTTAGCTAATTATTCATGTCTTGCAACGAAATATAACATAAATCAGAATAGCGGTGTAGTGACTTACATTAAAAGTAATTTTAAGGCGAATTTGAAGGAAGTGAAACTTGACCAAGCAACTTGCATTCAAATAAATGTTTTTGATCATATTTTTCTATGTATTTATCGCTCACCGGCAAAATCTGATGCGACTAATTTCATTGATTCTCTCAGAAATCATTTAGAAACTTTAAGATCTCATCACAACGTTATAATCACGGGAGATATAAATATTAATCTAATTCCAGTATGTAATGAAACGTCGTATGAACGTAACAACAGGGTTTATTATTTAAATATGCTCTCTATGCATGGTATACTTCCTGGCCATTCCCTTCCGACGAGAGACGGCAGTTGCCTAGATCATTTTATGCTAAAACTTGACCAAAATAAATTGTCTTCTCATATAGCAGTGTTAAATACAACTACAACAGATCATAACACCATTTTCATGAAACTGTCCAAACTTATTCGAAGCAGAAATTGTCTCAAGACAGTAATAAGTATCGATTATGACAAAGCGATCACTACACTTATTGAGAATAATCTGGCAACGCTGCTTTTTAGTGATGATCCTAACTTTGTCGCTGAACAATTGATAAACAAACTTACTGTAACGCTAGAAGAAAATAAACTGATTAAAACTCTACCTAGAAGAAAACGTGTTATTAAGCCATGGGTCACTCCAGGTATGCTTCGCTGTATTAGAAACAGAAACAAAATGCAACTTCAGTTACGTTCCGACCCTTACAATGAAATACTTAAAATTACTTACAAGAGATACCGCAATTTTTGCAATAATTTATTAAAGAAATTAAAACACAAGCACGAAAGAGAACAATTAGTTAAAAATTCAAAAAACTCGAAGCAACTTTGGAAAACAATAAAAACTGTAACTAACTTAAGACCTAACAAAACATTGAATACTGACTTATTAAATATTAAAACAACACCATACGATTCAGTAGATTGTGTCAATGACTTTTTTGCAAATGTTGGAAGGAACCTCGCTGAAGATATCCTCACAAAAAATATTACCGTTCCAGTTGACAATCTTCCGTCTTTGCCTACACAGCTGTCATCTTTTGTTCTTTTAGAGACTGATCCTCGGGAAGTTGACGATTTCCTATCTGGACTTAGATCTGAGAATGCGCCTGGGTGGGACAACATATCCACTAGGTTCTTAAAAATGTCAAGATCTTTTGTTGTTCCTGTAATAAGTCACCTAACTAATCTTTGTTTTCAAAAAGGAACTTTTCCTGTCTGTCTAAAAAAAATCTTTAATTACACCTGTGCATAAGAGTGGGAGCAAAGATGACGTTAACAATTACAGGCCCATCTCAGTGCTACCCGTTATATCTAAAATAATTGAGAAGCTAATAAACAACCGTCTAATTTCTTACCTCGAGAACTTTAAAATTCTCTCATATTCTCAGTTCGGTTTTAGACGTGGAATGTCCACTGAGGATGCGGTTTCTGTTTTGACGTCGTCTGTGACTAAAGAGCTGGATAAAGGTAGGAAATGTTTAGCGGTGTTTCTTGATCTTAAAAAGGTCTTTGATACTGTTTCACATCCCATTCTTGTGCACAAGCTAGAGTGTATTGGCATTAGAGGTACTCCACTGAACTTACTTAGTGATTACCTACGTGATCGAACTCGGCAAGTGAAAATTGATAATTACACTAGTAAGGACTCAATGATATCGTTCGGTGTTCCCCAGGGCAGTGTGCTGGGTCCTACGTTATTTTTGATTTACATCAATGATTTGTTGAATATAAATTTGGAAAGTGGCCGCATTATTTCCTATGCGGATGATACCGCAATCGTTTTTGTAGGCGCAACGTGGAACTCGGTCTTTGCAAACGCTGAATCTGCACTCACAAAAGTAACTAATTGGCTCCAACATAATCTTCTTACTTTAAACACTGCTAAATCAAACTACATATGTTTTTCTATAAATAATACATCGCAACCAAGAGATGATCTCTTATTGAGAATTCATCATTGTGACAGTACTGCTTCTAGTAATTGTGCTTGTACTGTTATTGAACGAGTTTCCTCTTGTAAGTACTTAGGAGTTGTCTTAGATTGGCGCTTGAGTTGGCACCCCCAGGTTGAATTTATGTGCGGAAAAGTAAGAAAATTGACCTGGATTTTTAGGAAATTGAGACATGTAGCTGGTAAAAAACTAATTAAACAAATATACATATCCCTGGCACAGTCGATAATGGGTTATTGTATTTCAATCTGGGGAGGTGCAACAAAATCAAAATTTTTGGAAATCGAAAGAAGTCAGCGCTGTTTACTTAAAGTAATACATTTCAAACCTTTTAGATTCCCTACGGAGGAACTATATAATCTCAGTCAGGTCTTGACAGTAAGAAAACTGTATATCTTGTCAACAATTTTAAGATTGCACAAGTCTCTACCATTTTTCTCTGATGCAATGACAAGAAGGCGAAAAGACACAGTTGCTAATGTACAGGAAATTAGAACTACTTTTGCACAAAGACAGTACACTTCGCAATCAGCATTCATATATAACAAATTAAATAAACAATTAAATATCTTCGAATTAACTTCACGGAAATGTAAAGAAAATTTAGTAAAATGGCTCGAAACAATCAATTATAATGACACAGAAGCTCTTCTGCAGCATATTTATTAGCTTATAGGCGACACGATTTATATATAAAAGCACGTTAGAACAATTAATAATTATTTCCATACACAGTTATCATACACTACAGCCGCACGCGCACACACACACACACACACACACCACACATTCCCAAAACACACACACATACATTTAGGTTAAGGTAGGTAAATGTCAACTATTCTTAAGTTTTCTTGATTTTTGTTTGTGTACATAGTCTATAGCATAAGTATGCATGAGTTAAGGAAGAGCGGGACCTCCTGACACAGGTATTTATTTACTTAATAGGATGGTCCCTACCTTTGTTTGTATTAATGCCGACTGTACAATGAATAAACATTTTTTGAATTTTTGAATTTTTTGAATTTTGAATATATATAATAGAAGACGCCAACGGTTTTGCCATCGGTGTAACAGAATGTATTGGGTTCATCCTATAAATCATGCGTACAAATACATTGGAAAAAATATGCGAAAATCTAAAAAATTACAAAAAATAGTTTTTCAACCAAAAATAAACACACCGTCCGGTTCGGTTGAAATCCGTTAAAAAACGTGCCTATGACAACTCACCGTGTGAAAGAGGTGGTGGTGAAATGGCAACCAGGACTATTTTAATTTTGACAACTTTACAGGATGAAGAAAAAATCATTTATATAGCATCTGGCGTATTGAATAAAAATACGTAGTGTACATACATGTGTAATAAAAAAAATACCACGCGGTCAAATTTAAGTTAAAACGTAAAATCTAAATAAATAGAGCGTACACGCGGTCGTTGCGATGAAATTTGTGTCGAATAAATGCCTAACGGTGTGCTTTTTTTGCAGTACGACTGAAAGGTTTTACTTATATTATAAAGTGTGCGCCAATGTTTATTCCGTAAGGTTTATATTGCAAGAAACGTGCAGTATAATGTACACGAAGCCTAAGTTTATAAAAAAAACTCACCATGTTCCGTACTCAAAAATACTAACTTAGTACATTTCCTTCCCCAAGTGTCCTTTATAGCAACAGGCAGTTTGTCATGATTTGGGGGGTGTGTTATTACCCAACACAGAATTCTTATTTTGGCGGCAAGAGCTTCAGCGATCGATGTGTCGTCTTTTGGATGCATTAGCTTCAAGTTTCGATTGAGTTTAGGCACATTAGATAGATTTCCTTGGTCACTATAATAAAGAAAGACACGTTAACAAATGGTTTTGAGAATTAGTTGTCCAGTTCAAAGTATTAAGTTTACCATAAATATTTCATTTAGTAAAAATAAGGAATTTGTTTTACTATACGTGATGGACGACACATTGTACATTTGCCCAATCATGCGTGATATTTATAGCAAGAAAAGTGTCCGACTGTAAAGAAGACATTTTTTTAAAATCAGTTGGTGATGGAAAGTTTTGCAAAATTACGGGATGAGAAAGGACACGAGATTTGTGAACCAAATAAAGTTCACATGATCTTGGCAAGCCTTATTTTATTGCTATTATTTTTGTCATTGCAGATAAGTAGTTGTATATCACACTGTTATTATAATATTGTCGTAATACAAAATTGTGGAATTGAGAAAAAAAACTGAATGAAAGCAATTTAAATATTCTCGTTTGTCAAAGAATAATTAACTATTATGAATTTTTATCACATTATTGGCAAAAATATCAATTCAATATTTTTTTAAATTTTCAAACTGTGGTTGCTTGTGGTTTAGTTGTTCTACATTGACCCGGCCGGGGATCGAACCCGGGAGCTCAGAGATGGCAACACAACGAAAACCGGCGTACAAGCCACTCGACCACGCAAGTCATCTAAAGCTGCTAACAGATAGACTGCATGTTCCAGTTATTGTGTGAAGTCGTAATCAACTTCATGCAGTCAAGGTCTCGGCAGCGTGAAGTTGATTACGTCTTCACCCATTAACTGCAAACATGCAAGCAATCTGTTAGCAGCCTAAGATAAGCTATCTTAAATTATCTTCGAAGATAATTCATTTTACTGATTAGTTGGATGGGCAACTAGAGTTCAAATTAGGCGCAACTAAACCCAGTAGGTATCCAACAATAGAACTGCAAGATTGCGTGAGCGATGCTCAAAATCTGTTTCTTTTTCGAACAATCATAATATTCAGATCGAGACACCTCACCAAAACATTAAAGAAAACTTGTTTTGTAAATTTATACGTATCGAGCTACGGACCTAGGTCGGCAAGTGATCTTGTTGACGAACTGGTTTTCAGTGAATTCAACCAATTCTACTAAACCCTATGACAACAGAAATGTATGTGAACACTTTGATAATCTACTTATATTTTACTGGAACGCTCTGCCACCCATAGTTAAAAGGTGCCGAATAAGCTAGCTTTCAAGTAATTAGTACATTATTTCATGTTAGAGTCTTAATATACTCTGTTTATATTTAATCGATTGTTTGTATATGGATGTAGTTCATTATGTATTGTTATATATTGTATTTATATTTAGTTTTTTAAATTGTGTGTAAGTAATGTATCATAATTATTTATGAACATAGATTTTATTTGTTTTTATCTGTCATGTTATCCATCCCTGTTATTTATTAAGCACTGAGCTTTCCAGTTAGAGTACGCTTAATGGCATAAGTCCGCATTTACTTAATATGTGCAATGAAGTTTAATAAATAAATAAAATAAGTAAATGTTTTTAGTCTATACATTATAAATGGGTCGTTCATGACTCACTGTATCAGCATTCTCTTTGCCATATCTTGCTTCCGTAATACCTTTTCCGACCGCCAGATTTCTATATCCAATCCCAAAACATTTGATCGATTCTGTGCTCCTCGCTTGCTCTGTGCCCGTTTCGCCGTTGTACATCCTTTCATGTTTTCGCAATTATTGCACTCGCACACTGCCGACAAATTTTTATTTACAACAAATGTCACGGGGATCGGCTGTGGAGTATCTTGTGATGCCAATACAACCTCTGGCATTTTAATATTCACATTTTCGTCGAAAACGTTACCCATATAAAACTTCTAACTTTGTCCGTTTTTATTATTAGGCGGTTTAAATTTAAACTCTAACGACGATGTAAGTATTAGAATCAAGTATTCCTAATTTAAAATTTCACTTATGTTACTATACTGTCTTTGTTGTTCGGATTCAAACATTGTAAGTCAATGGATTCAACAATGGATTCAAATGTATTATTCTTTAATGTTTCCTTAATTGATTTGGGGCAATAAACGAACAATTCCGAATTTTCCATAATAATTAGTGTAGCTTCATGGTGCTCGGTAAATCTACCTGGATTTGGTCCGTAATTGGAAATTTCGGTGTTATTTACATGGTAAGCGTTTGTCGTCGTAATATTTTCAACTTGATTCATTGGTTCTATGGCAGAAGAAACTTTTTTGGCTAAATTTGTTGCGGCTATATTATTGTGCCTCCATCTAATTTCAAAGATCCGAGATAAAGCAATTTGTAAAGGATTTTGTGAAGCACTTTTTAATATATCTTCTTGAGGCACAGTCGAATCTGTACACCCATCTGAATCTGGCCTTGCGATAAGGTCTGCGACTTCATCTTCTACATCGTAGGCGGATATTGCACTTGAAAACGCGAGAATTGCGAAAGGAACAGTGAAATTCATCGCTGCTGGTCGCACACACCGTAATTTTATGAGACGTTTCTCTACATTAACAATTAGATTAGGATTGAAGATAGCAGCAACACTCTGTTTAAAAACAATGTTTAAAATTGTTTTCAAATACTGCACATTGTAATAGGATAATAAGCTTGTGAGATAATGTTTGGGAACAATGCTGTTGTTCAATTTGCATGTTGTTGTTTCGTCAAGGTGAAAGATCAACCCTTTGTCAATCTGTTGAAAGGAGCAGATGGTTATACATCGAAGAAGATGATGTATAACAACGAGCGAGTGACTTACGTACAGTATCGATTTTCTTCTTAATATTGTAATTTGGAGGTATAAATTGTAATAATTTATTATTTTCTTTAAAATTTGCCAGCACCTATCTCAAAATTTTTGTTTTCACCAAAATTCCAGGTGTTTCTTTTCTTTCTTCGATTCTTCCAAAGTGAAATTATCGCAGGTGTATAGAATCACATTTTTATATAATATCAAGTGACGGGACGAACAAATCGTGCGCCTGGCTGTAATCGACACCCTTATCCATAAAATGTAGTGCCATTCCGAGTTTTAAATCGCAAAGTACTTAGGGGTACTGCCACTGCATCTGTCACCTTGAGACATAAGTTGATAAGTCCCAATGTGCCTGTAATTTCACAAGCACCCTTATCCCTCCATACCGGAACGCAGTAATGCTCGTTATTGCTTGGCGGCAGAAATAGGTAGGAGGCAATACTTTCCTGGACGGACTCCTTCACAAGGAGCTCTACCGCTACTACGTAACACCTACAAAGGAAGCACATAAAACGGAGGCACCTATAGAACATCGGGCACATCATGAGGAGTGAAAAATATTCTCTACTGCAACTAATTCATTCTGCCAGGTAAAAGCCAGAATCGCAAAAGATACAGCCGTAGAAAAACAACATGTAACCACAAATCTTGCAGAGTGGTTCAACATGAGTACCTCAGAACTTTTTCGTACCACAACTTCACGGGCAGAGTGGCAAGTGGTAGGGGATGGCACACCAAAACGAATATCAGATAAAAGAATAGAAATATAAAAAAAAACAATTCTGCTATACGATTTTATTTCATTACTTATACAAAACCCAATTAACATTTGAAATTAAAAACTAAGATGATGTTACAAAAAAAAACTAGTCTTCTAGTTACGGTGGTGTTGACGTGCGTACTAAAGTTGATATATTATAAAACATCAGTATACTGTTGATAAGAAAACATGATATACTGGATATAATAGAGGATTACCTTTTACAAGATATAGTTAGAATTGTAAGAAATTATTTACACCTAAATTAGCTATTAAGTACAATGGAGAAGAAATTTGTTAATTTCAGTCGATTTACCTATTGATAATCGTTATAGAACGTCAATGTCAAACAAAAATCGTTCACTTTGGGGAGATTCGATTCCGCTCAGACCATTGAAACGTAACGTCTGTGTCGCTCTTAATACATGGACATAAAGCTATTTCCGTGTCGGTGACTTTGGTGATACTGTACAGTTAGCATCAAAACGATCTGGGCTAGTCTTTGTTTACATTGTAAAAAAAGAAAACCTGGAAAGCGATATAACTTTGGAATGAGTGCCCATCTTAAAAACATGTATCTTCCTAAAGATGTTTTACAAAAAAAAAGAAAAAAAAACGTAGGCGCATCTAGCGCATAAATGATTATTTTAACCAATAGCAAGCTTGGTGTCTTATTCACAATAAAATTTGAAGCATTCTAAGCTAACTCAAAGCTAAGTCAAAATATGAACTACATGTTTGGGCCCCATTTATTGAAACAGTGGTGTATTACAATGCTATATACATAATATATGTATACATAGATACTTATATTTTAAGAGTATTACGTGCAAATAAGGCTAGGTATTAAATGTAAATCATACATAACGGTTAATAAACTAAACCGTTTAAAAATGGACACGAGGCACTGGTAAAAGTATACTAGTACGAAGTACTAAGTAGTACTGGTAAAGATATAAACAACAAACGCTGTAGCACTGTAACAGTTGCAGTGCCAATCAGAGTTTTAATTCGCAAAGATCTGAGGCGCACTGCCACTGCGCCCATCACCCTGAGACATAGGATGACAAGTCCCATGTGCATGTAATTTCACCAGCACCCTTACCCTTCAAAACCTACCCTTGGTGGCAGAAATAGACCGGACGAACTCTTTCACAAAGAGCTCTAATAATTACATAAATTTCAATACGAATCGGACGTATTGCACAAACACTCTTATAGTAATGCTGGAGCCGCACTTGCGTCTATCGTTACGGAGCTTCGCATAAAGGCTGGTCGTGTTCCGGTCGAGTCATGGACTCGGCCCGGTCTAACATAAATTGGTTCATATAAATGCATAATATAATAAGCACAGTCCGGCCCCGGCACGGTGTAACGTGACGCAGCCTTTATGATACGATACACGTAGGTGTAACCAACCATTAACGGCGCTCTTCGCGAATGTTTCGGCTGCGTACAAGTTACAGCTCGGGTGGCGGTACATCAAAGAGTTTTAGCGCGTAGCCGGACCAGCAGTTGGATTTTGATTGCCTCTCCCGATCGGAAACGGCGTCTCTTCACAACTGGTCAATTGGAAACTTGACTTTTCAAATCGAAACAATAGTTGATTTAACTCACAAATTAGAAAGATATAGTAGGAATCAGGTTAATCTTCTTGCTTGGCTTGAAATCAGCCTGCAGCATTGTTGTTCATTTCGAATGTTGTTCTCGGTCTGGGGGTCTACTCCTGGGCCCTGATTTTAATTCAAACGGGATTTGATTCCATCGGGTAGCCTATCCGCAATATTATACGCCTCGACTCGGAAAAGACGCTGTTTCCGATCGGGAGAGGCAATCAAAATCAAGCTGCTGTTCTCCGTCCGAAACAATTACTGTGGAATAAGTAACACTCGACCAAATCAAAAAGAGAAACTTTCAAGCGTCGAAACCGCTAGATTGGTTCACTTCAGCTACTTTCACAGTAGACTGTGACTTTGGGGTAATGCCGCCGATATCAATAGAATCTTTGTCCTGCAGAAACATGCGGTTAGGACAATTTACAATCTGGGCGCCAAAGTATCTTTGAGAGATAAGTTTAAGGAAATTAATATTCTTACACTATCATCACAGTACATCTATGAAAATGTAATTTATGTTAAGGGTAATCTCTTTATGAAAAATAGTGACAGACATAACATTAATACGACGAATAAAAATAATCTAGCTGTTCTTGATAGTCGCCTTCACAAAGTCACAAATTAATTTGAGGGCCAATGTATACGCTTCTATAACAAGATTCTGGTTGATATACAAAATTTGCCATTCACGAGGTTCAAAACTATAGTGAAACAAAAACTTTATACTAAAGGTTATTATACAACTTTTGCGTACTTGGATTACTACTGCGTAATTGTAAATGTTGAATGCGTACAAATCTAATTTACAAAGAGCAACGGCTAGAGTTTCTTGCTCATTCTTCTCGGGGGAATCTGCCTTACGAATGAGCGGTAGAGTTTAACCAATGTGACGGTTTCAAGTGTAATAATGCTTACCTATGAAATAAAAAATATTTGATTTTAATTTTGAGAATGTAGAGTGAAGGGAAGCTTCGTTCGCATCATAGTCTTTAAATTTGATTGAGTATTACTTATTTGGCAATAATTGTTTCGGACGGATGTCGGACAAAGAACGGGAGCAGAGCAGAGGTCAGATGTTTTATCTAAATAATAGAGTGGAGCGACGAAATGGTGTTGGAGTTTTTAAACAACTTTGAAGCTGAGCCCATTATACCAACCCCTCCTACGTAAAGTATCGTATGTCAAAATTGCCAAGTCTATAGGTAAAGTCACGTGCTATTCTCATTTCAGTGAATTCAAAACTTTGAAACGCTCCCCTGTAAACTTGGCAATTTCGACATACGATACGTTTCGTAGGAGGGGTCGAAATGGGATGCAAAGAATGTTCGCCATAAAAACCATAATTGTTAGCACATAATGTTGAAGCAAAGAAAGTCGTCGTCCATAGTCAATAGGTCTGGAAATTTCATTGCGGCTATCTTGGATTATTATATGATAATTCGTTTAAAATTACGAATCTGCTAATGTGACCACCGCATTGGAGCATTAAATTTTTAGCGAGCAAAACATACGAAGCTTCGGCACGAATTATTTCGTGACGATAGACACAAGTGCGGCCCCAGTATAGGGTACATCACCGTTATACCGAGAAAAAGAATTGTTTAATAAAAAAAATACTATGAAATAAATGCAACTGAAATTTCAACTACGAATATTTCTTATAGACCACAAATATTTCTAACAGATGTTTCCACATTTTACCGAAACTAAGTAAATATTTTATGTACAATATTTATGCGTTTTACCAGTTTTTCATTTACTGTAAAAATTCCAAATAATTGATTTTCGTAGTATAACGACGACATAGAGTTGATAATACCTCCCTCTTGATATACCAGAACGATTAAAAATAAAAGGCAAAAAATCGAAACCATAGTTATACTTTTACTTACAATTACAAAACTTATCATCTATATACACTACCATAGTATTGTTAAATAATATACAACAAAAATATAGAACAAAATACAATACAATAATTCTGGAATTCCGAAGGGAGATATTACCACTTTGTGTACAGTCTTGCCCAAAACTTATCAGCACACTAAGAATTCTGAACGTGCACAATAAGTATTGCAGAAATAGGTAAATTTTTATTATAAAACTTTTCTTCTAAATACGTAGTGTTTGCTAGGTGCATATGAAAAATATAGAACAAAATTTATGTTGTGGTTTTACAATAATTCAGCCCCCGTAGCGTGGCCACGCATGATAGTCGCGACGCGCGCGATAAAATTGAAATAAGCGCGCGCTAGTGGCTATCTAAATTAGATCTGATTGAGACAGCCAATAGCGCGCGCTTATTCGAATATTATCGCGCGCGTAGTGACAACAGGCGTAGCCATACTACGGGGGCTGGTGTATTCATAGCCGTGGAGCGGTATGAACGACAATTTTTGTATAATAATATAGCATAATAAGCTTTATACAAATTTTATAACATACAAACTAGATACAACACAGTATACTTCGCATATTCGCTTCCTTTTATGGTTGATTTTACTATGCATCGATGCAATTACAGCCTATTACAATCATTTTACAATAAGCTATTTAAGAAACGAGGGTAAAACTATTTATATACAGTCGGATCGTCGTAGGCGGCGCTCGACGTCACTTTTGCGGACCTTAACATTATGAACTACGAAAATAAACTAAACTAGAAGAAAAAACAAGTTATCACAAAAAAAGGACAATCGTTCTAGCTGATTTTAATGTGTACCTTTTTTAATTATAATAACATTTTGAAATAAGTTATTGGAATCAAATAACAAACTATGCAAAACTAAAAAAATTTGGAAAAACCTGGCGGAATTACATACTTAAAAAGCTCCAACTTGTCATTTCGAACAAAATTACATTTGTAACTTGAGTGACATAATTCTCGCTAGATTTGTCTCGTTACATACATTTTTACATAAAAAAGTCAGTTACGTTATTTGATTCAATATTTCACTAATGGAATTCGAGATCAAAATTGTAAACAACTCTCACTATCAAACTGACAGATATCTCACAGATCATAAAAAATATTTTATTAATATTGATATTATGAGTAATAATTATTATGAAAAAATACCCTTCTGGGTAAACCAACCTTAAGAAACAATAGAAAAACTACATGAAATTTTTTTACCCTTTTTATCTTTTTTTTTCATCCCGTTTTCCATTGTGAAACATAATTTATTAGATGACATAATTTGACAGGCGCGTTAAGAGCATGAAAGGGAATAACTTTTACGATGGGCCTTTTGCATATCGAGAAAAAAATATAGGTATGCTCAAAATTTAATTGTCAAAATGTGGGCCGTCACACACTGGGGTGTGTGACTCCCACCACCATACACGTCATCGGCTAAATTTGAAAACCTCGTAACTCCGTTTTTGGACACCTGTCCCTTTTGTACCCTTCCAAGCTTAAAATATAATTTCTAGACATAGTATATGATTATGGCCGGAACGTTTGGCTACAAATTTTGTGCCTACTAAAAATTAAGTGTGAACATTACTGCGTTTCGTTTTGGAAGGGTAAGGGTGCTGGTGAAATTACAGACACACAGGACTTGTCAATTTATGTCTCAGAGTGACAGGCACAGTGGCAGTGCCCCTCAGATATTTTCGATTTAAGGCTCCGCGTGTCTCTGCAACTGTTATGGACAGGCGTGTAGCTTACCATCAGGCGCAGGACTTGTTCGTTCCGTCACTCGATAGTGTAAAAAAAGTTCACATTAATGGGCCGGACAATATCTACCAACCCGATCAGTTTACGGAACGTTTCGAACGATTTCTTGTGCAACATTTGTGTAAACTTGTATTTATATGAGTAGGTGTACTAAACAGCGAGTCGATTGCGCCTCATTCGGCAATGCGAGTCTACCGAATGCGGCATTCGAGCCTGTGTAAACATGCCATTACTTAGTTGCAACAAATATGTTATTTACGGCAGTTAGGGATGAACGAGGCGCTATTAATGTATAATAATACCTTACACACCTATACAGAACCTAAAGAAATAAGACTTGCTTGGGAAAGAACTTAATTCGCATCTTCTAAAAATAAATTAAAATACTTATTACACAAAACTCGTTAACATAAATGTTCACTTACACGAACTAACTAAAAATTCTATGTTAGTAAAATGAAAGCTTTTGTAATTAAATAAAACAAACTTAGGTGTATAAATGTCACTGGAAATAGCTTCTCTTCTTTCTTGATATCCTGCAATGAGAATGTTTTTCTATTATTTATAATTATTCAACTGATCTAAATTTACATTATCACACACATGTCTATGTCCAATCGTGATAGACAGCGACTACAGATGTCTACTTACTCAAACTTCTTTCAAGTTTGTTCATTGTAATCACTTTTCATCTGGCCTTTTCACAATAATTCAAAACTTATTTATTTGTTAAAACATAGGTGGTATAAATAAGAATAGTTTCAAGGTGTCCGGTCAAACATTAAGTAGATGTATATTTCATGTCACACAATTCGACCCACCTTGTATTTTATTCTTAAATTAAAAAATGGGAAATAAAAATTCAAATTTTTACCATAGACTTACGGAAATGACGTTTAGTATACCAGTTTCAAAATTGCATAATAGTTTTAGATGAAGCAAACATTCAATTTTGAAGTAGGGATGCAACGGAAGTGTTATAAACTCATAACTGAAACAGATGCTAAAAGGTTTCAACGAAATAGTTGCAAATATGGCTTGTACTTAGTTTAACAATTGCAATTAACGCAACACACAACTGCTAAAAAATACACGTCTCACCGCTAAATAATCCGCGCGCGCGCTTCATCCTTCGCGAACATTGTAATCTTCCGATTAAAGTTCTGTTATAAAAGTTGCGGAAACATAAACGGAAACAGATATGAAAAATCCTGCGGAAGCAGAGGTCTGTTGCATCACTATCCCGAAAATTTGTATAAGCTAAATGTTGATAAAAATTTTAGAACTAAATTTTGATAAGTGTGTTATGTATGTTAGAATACCATTTAATAACACAAACTGATGGTGGAGGATGATGACTGTGACACTTCATTTGACGTTTGTCATAGGGATGAGGTAAAATCGATAGATTATTAGTGTATTTGATTATTAAAGCAAAGATATCTTATAGTTTTATTTTTCTTACTTATTTTCAAAAATATAGAAGTTGTCAGTGTTTTAGTATTATATTGAAGGCAATATGTTTATTGCCTTCAACCACAACCATAATTCAAATAGAGATATTAGAAAATTAAAAAAAAACTTTTATCATATCATTAATTTATAGGTTTGAAAAAAGTGACACTGACATGTTAATTCATTTCCTATGATTAAAATTCATACTTTAAGAATGAATAGTCGCATTTATTCATTAAATTATCGGAAACAATTTTATCGATATACCACATCACTAGCAAATGAAGTATAATGAAGTAACCTTTGCACAACATCGTAAAAAAATAATGATTTAATTCCCCCCGTTTCTCATAAATAAGATTGATTTTTACTTGAATTTAATGCATTTACTTAAACAAAGGCTATTCATTTAAAAGTTAGGCTTATAAAAATAGTTTATGAAATAGTTTAATAATAAACATTTAATAGTTTAATTAGTGCACGTCGTTACAAGGTTATATTGTGTAGATTTTTATGAACTGTCAGGGATCATCCTAGATTATTTTTGTTTTTATTAATATATAATATATATATTATATATATATATATATATGATTATACTCAACACCAACAATGGGTTTGTTTTGAATTAGTCCGTGAGGGTAATAGACGTGGTGAGCCGTAATACAGATCTAGTTGCATAGTATGGACTCCGGTGCCTATTTTGTGTCGAGATAATAGACGTTTCTGGCCGCACAGGTGTTATGTCTATCGTAAATGTGATGGCACCGGTTCTCCCTATGCATCATTCGAAACTCAGCACTTTGCGGTAGAAGGAGATAAAGAGAGGTAACTTATAGTGTGAATCATAATTAGATGTCCAAAATGTAAACAAAGAAATGTCATTGTCAAAGTGTGAATGCAGGTGTGCTAAATCTTCTATTTTTAATGGCACTGGAAAAGTAAGAGGTTCTCATTTTATACAATTTTAATTTATCTATTACAAACTATTGAACAAGCACAAAATAATTTAAAAAACGCACTTCGGAGACAAGAAAACAGTTCAAGGAACGAAGCACAAAATGACATCTAAGATACGACAACGGGATGGCACAAAAAAATTTTTTTATCCATTTTTTTCTTAATAAAATATAAATGCGCATTTGACCTCCATCTTACCTGATGGAAAGTGACGATGAGGTCGACGATGGAGCATGCACACCTAAATAATGCCTATTCACTCTCGCTTTGAAAAGACCCAAGTTATAACGTTCAAGGACCAAGTCTGCAGGCAGGGAATTCCACTCCATAGCCGTTCGCCACATAAATGTGGAAGCGAAATGTGGAAGCGTAGCGCTTCGTGCGAATCTTTGGAATATCCACAACATAGGGGTGGAACCCAAGCTTACGCCTAGTCCCCCGGTAATGGAAAGGGGAAGGCGGAATTAAATCGTGTAATTAATCCGTGATATATTCTGTAAAATACCGATAAGCAGTGTGTTACCAGTGTAATAATATTATTATTAAATTATTTAAATGTAGTCTTGTATTATAATTATTGTATTAAACGAAATTAAGTAAAAATATATATTACAAAATGAGAATTGTTCTAAGTTTTAGAAGATGGCAGCTTAAAAAGTTATAAACGGTTATTATCTTCAAAAATAGGAAACTACCATATAAAATAATTTTTTTTGGTCAGTTATCTCCTATGTTTACATTTTGGACATCTAATTATGATTCATACTATACTATCAGTTATCTCTATCAGTGTGTAACTTACCCGGTGTCACTAGGGGAGAAGAAGAATCCTCTAGGTCTGGGTAGCGTGCTGGTCAACGGCGAGCCGAGTTCCGATGCCGGGCAGGCCCACTGCGCCCAGTAGTCGGATGGCAACCGCAGCATCAGCTGCATCACCTGCTCCATCAAGTCATAACTCATGACTACGTAATTCGTTCAAAGACTAATGTCACATTATAATTAAGAGGGCACCGAGCTTCTGGCGCTAATTGATTTTAGGTATTCTATGCGCTCCGTGTACGTGTGCGGGTCATATACGTTTTTAAAGCTGTGTGTAGCCCAAGCGACACAACCTCGACGTCCTTCGGCTGAAGCAGGACTAAGCCGGACAGGGAGAAGCGTGGCGGTTGTGACTAGTGGCGAACCGACATTATACTTTCCGATAAAACAATTTTCATTTCCCATAGTAGCAATACCTTTCGCAAACGGCGAAGGGAACATCGTGATGAACCCTGCATGGCACAGGTTTACAACCTTTGGGAAAAACGTTTAAAGCCTCCAACTCGCATTGGACCAGCATGAGAGATTATGGCCGAAAGTGTCTTTTTAAAGGATGTGACCGACGGTTTTGAGCAGTCACATTAAAGGCTTGGTCCACAACTTTTATTGTAATATATATAATCTTTTATACGAATAGGTAAAGAACAGGAAAAGGAAGAAAGGTGAAGGCTGTAACAAAACAAAATAATGGTATAAACACAGGTACAATCATAATATAATAAAAACATTCCTTACTTAAATTACATAGAGATTACACACGGTAAAAAGGAACTTAGCCCAAACGGGCCTGTATTTATACATATATTATGCTTTACAAGCAGTTAGGTTACATGATTTCCTATGGTATAACTGGTCAGAATTTGATATGAAGTCAAGCACGTCTGCTCGCTTCAGGAGTGTAGTAGTGAGGGCGACGGAATAAAAAACAGGAATTAAAGAACGATTCAAAATTTCAAAATAAAAACTAAGAACCAGAGAAGTGAGATAACAAGGTGGGATGACGATGAAAGAGGTCACAAGGAGATCCGCGCCCAGCAGGGGGAAAGATGATGGGGTCATCTATATGATGATGATTGTACATTATTTATTTACAAGATGTCTCGTGTACCTGGAACATCTGCGTAGTGGCGGTGTACATCTCCGCGGGCTGCGTCATGAGTCCGTAGCCCACCACAGTGGGGCCGAAGATCTTCGCCAGATTCTCAACCCCCATCTCGCATTCTGGACTCTCGGACACTCTGGAACGTGCGTTGGTTAATACTTAGAAAGGGTTAACAAACTCGAGACAAGTAACTCGCTCCATCTTTACGGTCGTAACATTATAGTAAGACGTAAGATCAGTCTTTCAAAAGCTAACATTCTCCACTAATCAATACAATACAATACAAAATAATCTTTATTGCAAACAAAACAAATACAAAAATAGACAAAAAACAGGGTACGACTTGTCCAAGCTATTTTGGAGTGACAGGACAAAAAAAAGACAATAATGTGAGAAAGAAATATTCGAATCTTTTAGATAATAATTCAATCTTTTTTAGCATTCCTTTATATAAATATGTCCATGAGGGTATATAAATTCGAATGAACGAATCGTGAATTAAAATTAAATTCATCACCAACATAATTATATAACAAATGGAGGCCGCATTTTTTTTATTTTACTATGTTTCAAAGGTGATTTTACCCTTCCATTCTTAACGTTCAAAAATAATATAAAACAAAGTTAGGACGAAAATATGTTTATCCGTAATTAAAAACGAGTTGAAACAAGTCTTGTCCCCCAATATACAGTAAAAGTGCGGCACTTTCGGACACTTCACTACCTAACATTGTTTAAGACATTTATTCAGGAGTGACAGGGCATCAATTTTACAATTTTTTCAAAATGGCGGTTGACAGATTTTACCGTATTGGACATTTCACTCTTACACTAATTTTTTTAATCGGACGTAATTCTATAAAGGCAACGATTTATTGTTAGACAAATTTCGCGATTTTTTTCTGTACGATAACGAGTTGCAGAATTTTTAAATTTACAGTGTCCATAACTATCACATTGTTTATTATATGAAAGCAAACTTGAGAATCCATCTTACTTACCAAATCATTATACTTTGAACTTACTTCTGCAAATGCAATATAAGGAAAGCGAGCGTGTCCCGGTTCGGCTGTGGCAGCTGGCTCACGGCTTGCACTATGGCAGCAGCAGCGTCGTTGGGCTCCGCCACTTTGGCGGCGTCCATGAAGTCTGCCCACAGTGCGCTGGAGACCAGCGGCTCTCGCAGGGAACGGAGGAAGTCTTTGATGCAGCCGCACAATACGTGGATGTCCTCGTTTCCCAGCTGGGGCGACCCGCAGCCGCGGAGGAAACGCTCCTATACATTGGGAATAGCAAATGATTATCTAGTAAAATCTGTTCAATCAAAATTTCAAAAACTTAATAATTTATTTATTTACAATTATTTAATAGATATTATATTGAAAGATGTATCAAAAGTATCTTACAAACTCCTAAAATAATACAGGGTTTTAATTTTTTAAGAATATACCTAAAAGACTTTATTTCATTTTTTATTTATTTAAATATAACAAATTTTCTTACGTGATTTTTAAGAATT